AGGGAAAGGCGTTAGATACGGACTTTGTGCCGGGCAAACATGTTGTACTCCGGCTGCTCGACAATTGGACCGACCAAGTCCAACCTCTCGGCAACTGCCCATGCCTCTGTTATCTGTTGGGCAGACCACTCGCTTGTGCCCCAGTAGAATGCCCACCCCTTGTCAATCACATAGTTCATCGCCCTCACCGTCTCCTCTATAGGAGTTGAAGTATCTGGCCTGCCACGCGAAATCACAACCCGCAAAAGGAAGAAACTTTCATGTAGATTTCCAATATGGATGGAAGTCCAATCTATTTAGTGGCCTTAACATATCAGACACACTCAACACTGAGATGACTCCCATGTTAGAAACAGACAAAGAAATTCGCAGATGCCATTCCAATGAAACATGCTCTGTTTCCCATGTTTACAATCTTTATGAGTCACTTTGATAGTGGCACAAATATAGTAAATTGTAGATCTGGATAATCAGAAGCAACTGAAAAACAAAAGTACAAACTAACAGATCCACAAACAACAAAACTACCACCTCACTGATGCGAGACTTTAATATGGCCAAAACCCGACAAGAAATCCCGTTCCAAGGAAAATTTCTTCGACAAATTCCTTTCTTCACGAAACTAATCTGCTGGATCAATGTTACATTAAAATGTTAAAATCTTAAGATAGGTGTAAGGTATGGAATCCAATGTTGATAACCAAATTGCAACAATATCTTTGCAGGGGTTCAAACTTATAGAATACAAGTTCTTGTTACTGTGGAAACGGAAGATTAAGGGGATCCAACATTGTTTGTCAATCGAGACTTTCGAGCTCCAAAATCTTTCTTTATTTATGTGTATAAGCATCGAATACGCACATATAACAAAATTACACGAGCTAGAACAGGGCAGATAAAGAAACAAAAATACCTGAGATCTCAAGATCAACGCAAAAGACAGGAAGTAAATACGCAGAGAAAAATGTAAGAGAAATTCCAGACAAACCCATTTCACTAATCATTAGAATCAACAGATTTCAGGTCAAATCAATCAAAGGCCCATAACTTGAAGATCAAAGAAAGAAAAAATCAAAGTTCAAATCTTTTACCTGTGGCAGTAGAGCACGTCGACATGATCCATATCAAGCCGTTTGAGGGAAGCCTTGGTTCCTTCGACGATGTGTTTCCGCGACAAACCCTTGTCGTTAGGACCAGGCCCACCCCAGAAGATCTTAGTGGAGACGACGATATCGGATCGGCGCCAACCCAGCTCGCGAATCGCCTGGCCCATGATCTCTTCGGCTCGGCCATTAGCGTAAACCTCGGCGTTGTCGAAGAAATTGACGCCATGGTCGCGACAACACTGGAGAATTGACTTTGCATCCTTCACATCGAGCTGGTTCCCGAAGGTTACCCAAGCGCCGAACGAGAGCGTGCTCACCTTCAATCCAGATCTCCCCAAGTTCCTGTACTCCATTTATTTTCCTCCAGGGTTTCCGATTTCGCTTCGATTCTCTTCCTTTAGTCTGTGTCAAGCAAATCTCACGCTTGGCGTTGACGATAGAGACTAGAGACTAGAGAGCACGCCTTGGTGAAAAGCAGAAACAAAGGCTGTCTAAGGACGAGAACTTCTTGCCGTTTTTTTATTAGAGATGAGAACTTCAGCCAGTTTTGTTGCTTAAAAACGTGTAGGAAGCACTATTACTCTTCCTTTTATATAGATCGCTTCCGTTCGCGAATTGAATTTCGACCGTTGGATTCGTTCTTATATGAAACACTGAATAATTTCTTGATGGTCCAGAACGTAACCAAGAAACACACTTTGACGACAAAAACCTAACCAAAAGGTACATAAACATAACATAACAAAGCGACCACACGCCATTACACTCCTAAAGCCTCACAATCAAATTATTCATTGAAAAACACAAAACCCATGAACATCTAATTAATAATCTTCAAGGATGTGGGAGGACTCCGCCGCCGGCACCGGCGCCGCCACCGACTCCTCCGGCGACACCGTTAGCACCTCCGATTCCACCGACGAGACCGCCTAGGCCACCGAGATTCTTGAACCCACCGATTCCGGCGGCTCCACCGAGTCCGCCGTACAGGGGAAGGCCGCCGCCGCCAAGGCCGGAGAATCCGCCGATTCCGGCGAAGCCACCTATTCCTCCGCCGTAGAGGAGGTTCTTGTTGTCTTTGAGAGTACCGGCCGGTGACTCTGCATGATCATCAGGCGCATTCGCATGCGCATGCATGAGCTCCGAGGTCTGGCCGTCACGTGCCTCGCCCCCGGTGGGTTCGCCTCCTGGCACGTGGCGAGCACGTGACCCGACGAGGGATACGAGGATGAGCATGATGATCGGGAACACTGCTCTTGCCATATCTCTCTCTCTCTCCCTCTCGTTGCGCTTTGCGAGTTTATATGCATGGGGTTGCATTTTAGGGTTTATATAGGAAATGCGAAGTTGGTGACGGTTGAAAATGTCATAAATTCCGCCATCATGTCCGATTAGGTGATTTCCAAAATTCAGATTTATAGAAATAAAATTAATCAAGCCCAAAAAACTTGCAATAAAAATAATAATAGTTTGGATAATTTCAGCACGAAAAATGTATTAGGGTAACACACTCTCTTCGAATATACACATTGTGCATGTGGAGACAAGCTTATATTATACGGAGAGAAACTAGTTTAACTAATGTCTGTTCTGTTAGTTAATTAGTGATCGAGGGTCCATGCAAAGCGTTCATTTTTTTTGTAATTGAATGTCTTAGACTAAGATTCATACTAATTTCTGACTGAGGGGAAATCGCCCATTTGATTTGAAATATACGCCATTTTTTATACCAAAAAAAAAATATACACCATTTTTCCAAATTTGATATTCGAACTCGATCAAACAATTTTTGTCTTGTTTTACCTGTTCAACTATGAAAACTTGGATCATGGAAAACGTTCTTTTGTCCGAAAAGTATTCCCAACCAAACATGTGATAGTACAACTGGGGCTATTTCTCCATTTTTCCACGCATATACATATATTAATATATATATATATATATATATATATATATATATATATATAAAATTCGATTTGTAAATTTCAGGCAACTTTTTACAGTGTTACATTAAATGATATCGAGAATTGAATGGCGTCGTAAATGTATAGGGATTAACGAACATTACGATTTGCATGTACAACACTTGTGTCGTGTCTTCACGGCCTCTTTATTGCCAACTTTTTCCATCCCCAATCATGCAATTTCGATTCGACCCACCATATTAATTCAATCTACTACATTATACGAATAACATTTGTAAAATGTCAATAACATAATTTAATATCATTAGTAATTTATAATCTCATTAAGATTCTTAGCCTTAAAAGAAAGCAAGAGTTCTAGTTAAGCCAACTATGATATAAATATATAAACCGTAAAAATTATATATAAATATCTAAACTTTTCAAAAATCTTATATAAATACTCATATTTTTTAAAATATCCTAAATAAAACCAATATCTATTAATAGGATTTAATTTGTAACATAATCCAATGAAAATCGATGACTCAGTGTTTGGAATCCTAATAATCATCCACGTTATGAGCCACCTAAGATAAACCGGTTCAATTGAATAATAATTGAAACCGGGCCGGTTTTGGTAAAAAAAAAATTAAAAATTAATACACGTAACGTACGTCCATATTGAGCCGACAACATGAAAACAAAACATCTGGATGGGCCCAACTAGGAGAAAAAAGAGCGTAAAGCCCAATACTGATTCGGGCTGTAAAACGGCCCAATTAAATTCATAAACTTCCATGAACTACCTCATTTCAGTTTTTTTTTGTTTGAATTTTTGTATGTTCATTTATAACGAGGAATTTACTGCAATAGCTGCAACGTGAAGGCGGGAAAACATAGATAGAGGCGAAAAATAAGAACAAGGAAGAGAGAGAGAGAGAGAGAGAGAGAGAGAGAGAGAGAGGATGGAGAGCAAGGCGAGGAGGATTCTGGAAGAGATTAAATCCTCTGATGTAAGTTCGTTTCATTTTCTAGCTTCCATTGTTGCCTCCTTCCCTCGCGATTTCTTGTTCTGAAACCGCATTCTCATCATCCCGTGTTCCATTTTTTCTGTCTAATTAAGCAAAAATTTCCCAGTTTGTCTAGGTATGGAATCTGCGATTTCTTTGTTTTGATCGCGTTGTTATATCTTGTACTGCGTATCTGTTCTCTCCCGATTCGTCAGTTATGCTCAGTTTCTTCTTCCATATTACCTCTAGGGCTAAATTTCTGGCGGAACTTTGCAGTTTAATCGCCATCATTTGCTTAGCCAATAAATTCCAACCCATTAGGAGTTGTAGCGTTTTGGATTGGGTTCTTCGGTGAATTGCTGAATTTTCTTTAGAAAGCTTGGTTTTCGAATGTGCTCGTGGGAGTTGCAACATTGTTAGTTCATGGGTCTAACAAGCTTTAATTTCTTCCATGTCTGTACACAGCTTATTGAGAACCGAGTTCAACTGCTCACACAACTTGCCCAGTTAGACATCGAGGACAAATCTGATGTGCCATCTCTCATGGAGAGCCTAGCAGTATCCGATACATTCTCTTTGTTTCCTAGTTTTTCTCTCTGGTTATGCTGCTTGTTCAAGCCATTGTAATTGTGACGGCATATATCCAGTCTTTTATGTAAATTTAGGGTCGTTTAGTGAACAGTTAAGATGAAAGTATCTGTAGTTGCCTGAATTGATTATGTATGCCATTCAGAAATACTGCATTTTCATTGAAGATCCACGGAACAGCTGCATCTCGATAGGGTTCTAGTGATCATACTCGATATAGATAGTCTGTTTCTGGCAATCCTTAACTGCAATCTAGACGTTCTGGGAAGATTTCACATGTCTGGATGTTTCCCAGTGTTTGTTGAACAAGGCTATATTGTGTGTGGCCTCCAAATACCTAGCTTTGGATCTACCTGACTGCTTACATCAGTTTCTCGGTCTTGGTGTTAAGGTACAACCATACACGTCCTAATATTTCCCTGCTGAATTACTCTGTAACTCCTCCCAAAGAGCGTGTTGACGGGCACGAATCTGAGCAATGATTTTTGTGTTCTTCCTCTGGAGCTGTTCCACCTAAAGTAGCTGCTTGTCATGTTTCATGAGGACAGTGAACGTCTTGCTACAGAGTTGTGCTCGACTTATTCTAGCTTGTTGTACTCTGGCTTCTATGACCAAGGGCCGCTGAATTACTTCAGTAATTTCTGAGTCAGCAAGGATCTCTGGACTTTGGCGGACAATAATACTCTGGATGAGACAGGGATGGGGCAACAATGCTGAACAATTCACTGCGAATTTTTATTCAATTGCTTTTGTGAGTTGAATTCTTGCAGGTGAGCCAGTGGTGTGCAAAACATTTAAAAATGTCCCTGATGTCGATGGAGGAATCTCAAGAAGAGGGGCATTCCAACATTTTTTTTCAGGTTGGTGAGGTTAAAAGTTTCTGTAAGATTTTTAAGTCCATTGGAACTAATTGTTCATCATAGGGTCGTTCTTTTCTACACCACTAACTCTTTCGATCAAAATTATGCAGCTTCTTCTGGATTATTTTTGCTTTTCAGCCTCGAGTTTTACTGCTATCAGTAAATACTCTTCTATGAATGACAAGGCCTTGGGTGTTACAGTTCACAAGTTTGTCTCAGACCAGCTGAATATCACAAAGGAGGTGATATTGAATGCCAAGGTATCTAAATAGCTTCTTTCATTTTATTTTGCCACAAGTTATCGTTTCGGGGCGTTGCTGATATTTGTCTTCGTGACACTATAGATTATCTACTATAGGTTGATATTTTTGTTTTCTATTTTTCTCACCGTTTCATGATTCGCTGAGAGGTGGATTATTCGTTTGGTACAGAAAGTCGATACATTTTCCGAGGAGATACTTAAGGCTGCACAAATGGTGATTGACTGTGTAGTACGTCTGTGCAAAGAGTGTTATTCCCAAGCCAAAGACAAGGACACAAATGATAGAACTGTGAGTAATTTCTTAAGCATGACAGAATTGGCAGTAAAAGCCCTGAGTGAATTGGGTATCCTTGCTGCAAAAGATGGTGGTAATCTTGTGTCCATCCTTAACTCATCATGGAAGGGTGTGATCACATTGCTTCAGATTGACAAACACACAATAGTATCTAAGGTTGAAGTAGCAGACATTATCTTAATGCTAATATCACTGGTCAAGGAGTCTCTGACATTTGCAGCTGAGGGTTGGTCTCGCTCAGTCAAGGAAGTCATTTCTGCAACAGAAGCAAGGAGGGTATTTCTTCCTGTGAAATTCTATTTGATCAATGCTGTTAAAGTTGTGGCACTGTTTCCGAGCCAGGCCTATGTGGTGTTCAAGGAGATAGCACTCTGCATTTTAATGATATTCGCTCTTAAATTTTCACTTAGCCAAGAAAGCCATGGAAAACCTGCGAGTGAAGTAATGACTGATCTTCTAGAGAAAACATCTATAGATCTTTTAAATGCTCTGCTGAACTCAGATGAACTGAAACGTGAGCACAAGGATGCCCTTCTGGATTGGTTATTCATGGATGCAGAAGGTTTTAAAAACCAAACTGGTAAGAGTCAAAGCCATGATTTGAAGACAGCATCATTAGTTGATATCTTTTCTTTCCATGTTGAATCTGCGACAAGCACTAGAATTTTGCTGCTTGCCCGAGTTGTATTGTTTCAGAGTGTCCTGAGGCATTCTTCTGTTCTCAAAGACGATGCAAAATGGGCAATCACCACAAAGCTTCAGTGGTTTCTGGACATATTAATGGATAAAGAGGTTTATTCTTCGGTTCTTTCTTCCCAGATCCCAATAGCAGATGGTCCTGGAAAGTCTATAGTCTGGGAACCAATGTTTTCAGCTCTAGTTTTGTCTCTCAAAACCCTCAGCGTTGTCCTGTCTTCAAGTACTGCCTGGGAAGAGTTTGAAATGTTCCTGCTCCAGAATTTCTTGCATCCCCATTTCCTGTGTTGGCAGATTGTTATGGAACTCTGGTGCTTCTGGGCGCGTTATGCCACAGGGGGCTTAGTGAATGACATGGTTGACAAACTTTGTGCGTTCATGATGACTTTATCATCATCACAAGCGCTACTTCTTCCGGATTCTGCTCTCAGAAAAACGACGAGATTCATCTGCTTTCTTCTTAAACATGGCCCGAAATCTTTGGCTGATCAGGTTTACAATTACGTTTTCAGCGAGAGCAGATCTCAATTTGCCCTGGATGTATATCTAGCCTTGCTGTTGGAAGGGTTTCCACAGAAGTTCCTATCAGACAGCACGAGAAAAAATGCCAAGCAATGGATAATTGCAGATTACTTAAACTTTATAGAGAACTTTAACGGAAAGCCACCAAGTTCCTCCGCATACAGTGTTTCCGGGGGTCCAGTTTTCGCATTATCTGCCTGCCTTCAATCACTGTAAGTAACTTAGACTTGCACTCTAAACCAGCTGGAATTCTCCATTCTCACCTCTGTTTCCATCATAGACAATTTCTTGAAAGATCCAGTTTCAACGGGTTAACAGAATCAGATAGTACACATTTGGTACTGAGTTTCACACTCTCTCATAATTTCAGTACTTCAGGTTGTAATTGGAATTCCTTTCTTTGCAGACCAATGATTGAGATAGAGATTGACACCAAGACACTTAAGTTTGTAGCGAATCTGATCTCTAAGTACAGAAACACCAAAGACCAAGCGACGAGGAACCATCAGGCAGACATTCTCGGTGAAACAATAACAATCATACCGAAAGTGGAAGAGCTATACACTTCCCTCCACATGGACAGCATCGTGCTAGAGCTTCAGAAGCTTTTCATCTCTTCAGAACCCGACCCTCTGTACAAATGCAAGCCGGGTCTTGCTCTGTTCATGGCAGGACTTAGCCACACAGGAATGTCTGAAAGCGGCAACTGCCCAAAGAGCTGCGCGGTCTGGGAACTCTACCACATGCTTCTACGGGAACGCCACTGGGCTCTGGTCCATCTTGCCCTAACAGCGTTCGGGCACTTTTGCGCTCGTACAAGCTGCAAACAGCTATGGAGATTTGTTCCTAATGACGCAGCTCTAGCATACAAAGCCTCTGGAAATGAGTCAAGCACAGAACAGTTCATGTCGGAGTTGAAGATGTTCCTGGAGAAAGAGCATGCCCTTCTGGCAACGGAGCCTTTAACCGAGCAGATTGAGTTACTTGCGAAAGAAGGGAGGGCTATCAAGGGAAAGGTGAAGAAGCTTGTGGAAGGAGGTGGTGAGGGGATGGAGACAGGAGAGGAGGGAAGACCCAAGAAGAGGAGGAAACTTCCGGGACGAATCTGCAGAGGTATTGAACTGCTGCAGAAGGGAGTGAAGGCTATAGACGAGGGTTTATGCCATTGGAGATCAGATCAGACGGACTGTGAAGAGGAAGAGATGCATAACAAGCTGTTGAATCACTTGTCGTGTCTCAAAGATTTGGTTTCTCATTTGGCCGGCCTTGATTCTTCCGACATGATTTCTTCTACCTGATTCAATGGATTCTCGTGTACACATAACTGGAATCTAAAAGACGAGACGAGAGTAAATTTCCAATTCATGGTCTTGTTGTATTATGTTTTTCTTTATAAATGAAACTGGTGTTCGGAGACACATTTTTCCAAAAAAAAAAAAATAGAAGAAAAGATGCAAAAATCGCCGTCTGTGGGGATCGAACCCACGACCACATGGTTAAAAGCCATGCGCTCTACCACTGAGCTAAGAAGGCTATTGAGAAACATATTAATTTGTATCTATTTAATTAAAAACAATTCAAAAAGTGCGTTACAATTTTTTTTTTGATTCATTGGGAACTCCGGTTGCTACCCTTCGGGCGCGCTGACCGAGTAAACCCAAGCCCACACGCACGAGCCTGCAACACACGCGTGGGAGTTAAATCAGCCCAGTAACGAGCTGACAGGCGAAGATACAAAGCCTCTGGAAATGAGTCAAGCACAGAACAGTTCATGTCGGAGTTGAAGATGTTCCTGGAGAAAGAGCATGCCCTTCTGGCAACGGAGCCTTTAACCGAGCAGATTGAGTTACTTGCGAAAGAAGGGAGGGCTATCAAGGGAAAGGTGAAGAAGCTTGTGGAAGGAGGTGGTGAGGGGATGGAGACAGGAGAGGAGGGAAGACCCAAGAAGAGGAGGAAACTTCCGGGACGAATCTGCAGAGGTATTGAACTGCTGCAGAAGGGAGTGAAGGCTATAGACGAGGGTTTATGCCATTGGAGATCAGATCAGACGGACTGTGAAGAGGAAGAGATGCATAACAAGCTGTTGAATCACTTGTCGTGTCTCAAAGATTTGGTTTCTCATTTGGCCGGCCTTGATTCTTCCGACATGATTTCTTCTACCTGATTCAATGGATTCTCGTGTACACATAACTGGAATCTAAAAGACGAGACGAGAGTAAATTTCCAATTCATGGTCTTGTTGTATTATGTTTTTCTTTATAAATGAAACTGGTGTTCGGAGACACATTTTTCCAAAAAAAAAAAAATAGAAGAAAAGATGCAAAAATCGCCGTCTGTGGGGATCGAACCCACGACCACATGGTTAAAAGCCATGCGCTCTACCACTGAGCTAAGAAGGCTATTGAGAAACATATTAATTTGTATCTATTTAATTAAAAACAATTCAAAAAGTGCGTTACAATTTTTTTTTTGATTCATTGGGAACTCCGGTTGCTACCCTTCGGGCGCGCTGACCGAGTAAACCCAAGCCCACACGCACGAGCCTGCAACACACGCGTGGGAGTTAAATCAGCCCAGTAACGAGCTGACAGGCGAAGCAGGTAAATGGTAAGGAAGAACGGCGTCAGGATTCGATCCCTCCACCTCAGGGGTGACCCCCTGCTCCCTTACCACCTCAGATCGTTACAATTTATTAATTTTAGTATGTTGGATTTCTATGTTTTTTTATTAAAACATCATTAGATTGGTAATATATTCATTACCTGACTAACAAACAAGACAACCTGAGACTTATAAAAAAAACCCATAAGTGATCAATTTGGATTTCCGGTCCTAACGAAGCTCTCGGAATCGCACCGCTGCTTTGTGCATTGTAAATCAAAGAATAGCGATTTCGGAACGCAGACGCTGAACTTCGCGTCCATGGCTGATTTTGCGTTTACGCTCTAAAGTTTTCAGTTTTGGGATCGAACCGAATCTCATGCAGCTTTGCTCGGGGAAGTCATTCAGTTTCAGGACTTCGGCGTTTTCGTGTACGATAGGGACCACAGTGTATATGCAGTGGTGTGACACGTGTTTGGAATTAGATTTTATGTTTGTTACAAATGGTTTTAATAAACTCTTCATGGATTCATCGTAGGATAAGAATATATAGGGCTCTACCGTTTTACCCTAGTCACATAACGTCATGAAAACCATATATTATTATTCCACATTCTTCATATATCCAATGCATATGATATAAGCATAGCTTTGCTATTTATCACCCTATACGTACGTACAAAAACCCTATAAATACATAAACTTTTGAGCAGCGTGACCATGCACGCATACACATTCATAACTTACGCAAAAAAAAAAAAATGAAGAATCTATGGAGAATTCTATTCACATCTGTTATCTTCGTTAACTTAAGCGAAGAGGGTCGTGGTGTTTATACTCACGTAACGATCACCAACTCGATCGGTCAAGGTGTGAGGATGACCGTTCACTGTAAGTCGAGAAACGACGATCTCGGATTTCACGTTCTGAGCTACGAACAGCAGTTCAGCTTCAGGTTCAGACCTAATCTATGGAAGACGACGAGATTCTACTGTAGTTTCGGATGGCGAAATCGTTTCGAATGGTTCGATATATATGTAGCAACGAGGGACGTGCGTTTCTGCACCAAGTGTAATTGGTTCGTGTTTCCCGGCGGTCCATGCAGGGCCGGCAAGTATAGCCGGTGCTTTCCTTGGAACAAGGGAGTGTATAATAAGTAACGTAGAAAAAGAAATTAATATTGCGGATTAAAATCGCTATTTCATTAATTTTCCAATACAATTCCAGCTTTGAATTGTGATCAAGTCATAACTCAGAAAAGATGTTATGTTCATGTAAAAAAAAATATCAAAATAACCTTATGTATGTGTATGTATGAAAGGAATTCCAGCTTTGAATTTTTAGCAATTAAATTACAATTTTAATGTTAATAAATGTGTTATTAATCAAGAACAAATCTATTACCTAATCGATCTTTATATGAACAGAAATAAATCTTCATACCGCAAATCGATATAGGATTAGATTAGATGATGTTCATTGAATCATCATACATTACAAATACTGAAATACATACATACAGGAGAAGTGGGGCCAACAAAAGGTTAGGGTGGGATGAGATTGTGTATAATGGGGCCCATAAGCAATGAATTGCCACGTCATCATATTCGTTTAGATTTTACGCTTTGACAAGGAACGGTCAAGAAATTGCCACGTCATTCTCTTCATGCCCTCGTTTTATCAACTCTAAGGGAAAGCCCGAGAGGACGACGACGACGAACGAAGCAGTCCGACTCTGAACCAGTGGCTTGTCCATGGAACCGGTGGCTCTTCCATACCACCACCACCGAATTGCTCTGCCGCATAAAACCGCACCGGTGTATCTTAACCCTCCGGAATTTTCTCCACGTTTCAGCAATGTCGCAGTAAGAAAACCGGCGTCTGTAATAACGATAAGAGCAAAACCAGGAACACGGCGAAGAACGGCGTCGGAGGCAACCATCGGTGGCGGCGGAGCTCCTCCTCCGCCTCTAGATTTGACGGAGGATAATATCCGGCTGGTCTTATCCGATGCCCGCGTCGAGGTGAGCGTTTTTTAGCTGTTCCCCGGTTATCGAAATCGTTGTCTGCGAATTCATGATCAATGACAGTGATACGGGTATCGGTCCAACCGAGCTAGACCGGTATGTTTGGTTCGGTTTATCCGCATTCCCGGTTATTTCCGGTTTCTGATTCGATTCATAGGAACAAACCCAACAATGCTCTCAAGAACTCAATATGGCCTGAATGCAGATTTTACACTTGTACATACTGTTACCATAATGCTAGATGGATCAAAATGTAAACTTTTGTTAGATTCTAACTCAAGTAAACCGGAGAATTGGTCGATCGAATGCGAATTCTCGGAAAAGAAACGGTCCCTGAAACGTATTTTTCTCCAAACAAATGCGGATTCTTGGATGTTTGGTGTGATCATGGACCTGTTTCTTCTCCGACAGCTTGCTCAGCTTTTCGATGGGTCGGTAGGGATAACGGGGGAAGTGGATTTAGCCGAACTGGACGGACCGTTCGTGAAGATAAGTCTGAGAGGCAGGTTTTGGCACACACGTTCCACTGTTCTTGCGAGAATCGGAAACTACTTGAAACAGAGGATCCCGGTGAGAATCTCGGATACGGTTCCTGCAACTGCAAAGTGACAGACTTTAGGTTTGACCATCAATGGATGATTTCTTGTTCTTTTCCTCTTTCGGTTGTGTAGGAAATTCTGGAGGTGGACATAGAGGATGAGAAGCAGCTCGATGATAGCCCCGCCAACTTCTGACCTCTTCGTGTTACTGAAACAGATGTTCCGGTGGGAAATTATCGGGCTTTTCGATACATTTAGGTTTGTTATTTCTTTCTAATGTTTGGAATCTATAATTTTTTTGAATGTAAAACATTATTACTATGTAAAATATGTATCAGAAGCCATCATGAGATGCATATGAGAAAGAGGGACTTCTGTTCTGAGAAGTAAGAGCAATGGGGTGTGCCAAGCTTACAGTAAAGATGCAAACTTTCTGTACAAGACGAGATCCAGATCCAGATCCAGATCAAGATCAAGATAAACAGAAGAAACCTGCAGATTTATCGGTCATAATTAAGAAAAAAGATTCGGAAAAAAAAAAAGAAGACAAAGTTCCAGATCCATCTTTCTTCAATGCCTCTGACAGAATTGTGTTGTCAGAAGCTATGAAAGACCAACATCTGCAACATGTTCTAAGCTCTAAGCTATGAGACAAGAACAGCTGCCTTTTTAAACAGAGACCAGCAGATGTGTCAGTGTTCATACACAGATCATAACATCTGAAACATACACAAGATCGCTTCAAGTTACTCAGAGATTCATGGATTCAATTAGCTTGATGATCAGAAGAAGCATTCATATTTCATATGCAGGTTCGGGCAAAGATGACGTAGGGACTGCTCGGGATTAAGATCTAGGCCAAACCAAGAATCTGTTCCACGTATATGCTTCGGAAACAACAAGTACAACATTTCCAAGTCATACGGCTCTTCTTCTGCCCTCGTCTCGTCCTCCTCCGTTATTGTACATAGGTTTCAGTCTTCATTACAAAAGATTCAATAATGTAGGAAGAATGACACAATGATATATAACAAAACTCTATTTGCTGAAAGGTTCATAAAGAATAGAAACATTGTTATATGGACTTTGTTCTCTGGAGTTCTTGAGTTCAGAGATCAGGGCAAGTTCAGTTCATCTGTCTGATGGTGATGATGTTGCAGAGGTTGTTCATGAACTTTAGGCTGTCTCACAATGGGAGCAATCAACTTCCAAACTGCATTGTAACCGAAACCCGAAGTAAATGAACAGATCATCATGCAGTTCTTCTGCAGAATCTTTTGGAATCAAGATTCTGTCAGATTTATGTTTCACTTACTGTAAATCGCTGAGGCAAACCACTCGTTCACAATCTTCACCCATGTGCTCGTCCACCCCACGTCAAGGCTCCATCTGTATATATACACATACATGCATACATATCATAAAGTTTGATATTGTTCAGAAGAACTCGGAGATAAAACGATATTTTTCATACTTACTTCCGAGCTGAGTGTTCGAGGTTCCAGCTGACAAACAACATAGCGAAGTACATTGCTCCGAGGGAGAACACGAGGTGGAAGAATCCGTAGTTGTATGGTATGTCATCTTCCTCTTTAGCTTCATCTTTCCGGAACTGTAAAAGGGTTATAGCAGGAAAAGAAAAGAAAAAGTTCGAGGGGATTCAAGGAAAGTCGAACCGAGAATCACCTGGAACTGGAAGGATTCTGAATCTATCCCGGTTGAGAATGTTGCATAAACAATGGTGCCTATTGCAATCAAGAAACTCTGTAATGTGGAAGAGACCGATATACTATGTGGTAAGAACAGCGAAAACCGATATGACGAAAGAAAATAAAAAACCAGAAGATTCGACAAAGTGTTAGGTTATTACAAGTACTGTGGTCCAATCGGTGTGACCATTTTGGGTATGAGCATTGCATTTCACATCTGGAGGTTCGCTGAAAACACGAGCGAGTTCCAGTATGAGTTCAAGAATCATTCATCAATGCTGACAAGAATCAGGATTTCGGCTTTACCTTCGGATTGCAGACCAGCACAGAAAAACAACATACAATGCCATGATCCCAGAAGACAGAAGCCCTCTGTTAACCTGTAACGAAAAGCATCGAACTTTTCAGGTTTCTCGTCTCAGAAGGAAACCCGTCTGATAAAAAAATAACGTATCGAAATGTTTTGAATCGAAAAAAACATACCTTGGAATGCAAAGACAAAGCCATCATAACAATCAAAAGAACAACAGTCCAGGAGATGAAGAATATGTTGAGGATACAAGTTGCGGAAGCTGCGTATAGATAGTACATCAATCCAATCCCGAAAACCGAACCCACGTAGAAAACCGTCGACATGAAAAGCCCGAGAGAGCAGCTGCAGAAACATGATTTTGCGAAACACTGAAACACGATTAACACTCGAACTTCTATGTTATGTTATCGAGTAAACGGGAATGAAACGATACCTTTGCTTACTGCGTTCATCGGGCATCCAGTATTGATTCCACCACGTGATGAACTCGATAACGCTAACGAGCTGAAGAGCAAGAAATATCCTGTTACCAGAAATCCTCGTAAGAAGAAAAGAACGTTTTAAGTTTGTAAGAATGGTGAATCCGAAAGAGAGCATTTTTACCCTGCTCCAACCCGTGCGATTTCCCCTGCAAGGAGAATGTAAAAAGAAACTGTTCAGACATGAAGCTTTTCTTTTTCAGACAACCGAATGGAAGGGTTTTACGCAGAGAAATTCATGGTACCGTAAATTTGAATGTAGAGTGGAGGGATGAAGAAAGGAGAAACCATGGACACAAGAAGCAGAAAACACTTCAAGATCCAATAATCCGAGTGCCAACTGTTCCGAGCTTCTTGCAGTTTGCTGGTGTCCCATGTCGAGAGGAACATCACCAGGAAAAAGAACTGAGATTTCGTTAAAGCCGGTAGAATCGCTGGACCGAATCTTTGTTTAACATATAGTTTCTATGACATCATTTTGTACACATCAACCCTAATGAAAAAGGATACGAAACATCCAAGGCTCACACGAAGAACACCGAGCGTGTGGAAACAATGGCGTCCTTCTGGCCCACAAGCTTTCACATCTGCTTCAAAAGATTTCAAGACAGAAAAGTTACGTAACAGGAAATATCTGTATATATCCTCCAGCGATGAACAGTTGTGAACAAGGGCAAACGCATTATACGTGTAACGAAAGGGTCTATACGAAAAGGGCAGAGAGAATTTTACGACATTTACATGGGATAAGGGCCAGGGATGTCTGAGCGTAGTCACGGACAAACCAAGCACAGAGATTTACTACCAAGAAGACGACCCCATAGACATATCGAGCTCTCAGTGACTTGTGTCTCTCCACATGACAGAAGAGGCTCTTCTCTTCTATTGACCTTATGATTTCTTCAAGCTGAGCGTCCTCTACAGCTTCACTGGCATTTCCCCCTGATCCTCTCATCGCCCAAGAAATTCAAGAACTGAAAAAGCAAAACCAGAGAAGAACGATTCTTGTTTAGTACAAGGAGATCGAAGAACAAGAACCAAGCTTTTGTCTGGTTCACACTAACTGCTGTTCTTCTCAGTTGTAGGATCCATCGTTGTAATAGACAAAGATTGAGTTTTACAAGAACTGTTTTCTCATCACATTTACGCGTATTTATTTGCTTTTTTTTCTGAGTTCTTGAGATGCGTTCAAGAAATTCATCGACCCACAGAGGCATAACGTTTCAGAAAACACATGGCATTGATGTTACGAGAAGGATAAAACAATTCCCCACTAACTATTCTTAAACCCCTAGAATGCAGGAGTGAGCAAGAACAAGCCCTTGATTTTGTGAACGAAAAAAAGAAGAAGAAAAATTCGAACAAAGAAGTGAAGCAGAAATTAAGGAGATTTCTGAAATTTCTAACCTTGTTTTGTTCTTGTCTGAGAGTTAACTCGCAGGAGAGAGAGAGAGAGAGAAGAAGAAGAAGAAGAAGGAGCAGAAGCTTGAAGTGGACTTCAAACGACAAAAGAGACAGTAAAGAAGAAGCGGTTTCAGAATCTCTTTAAAAACATGCATTAGTCGTTAATTCAATGTTCTGATCTCATCGTATTAACACATGCACCTTTACTTACAGCCGTCCGATCTGATGACTATTTAGTTCATTAGCTTTGACCGTAAGACTTTTTTTCCTAAAGTTTTCATGAACATTCTGAGCAATTCCCTATAAATAATTTATATATTAGCCCACGCAACACACACACATATATATACACATATATATATTAGATTATTATAAATTCACATGGAAGAAAAGATCATTCTCCAATCATGCAGGAAAATGCCACGTATATAGAGACATCCTCACAACCATTCTTCGTCCGCTCGTCGCGGTCAAATTGAATAAACAGAAATAAAATTGAGTATTCAAATCAATATAGTTTTAAACTTTAATGTAGGATTTCAAAACTATACACGAATGGAAAATCCATATTAATTAATATAGATTAATTTTTATTTTTTATTACAATATTTGAGAATGTATTCGAAGATTGTACATGGAAAAATGACAAATGTTTTTCACACTATATGTCGATCCATTATATCGGTTGGTATATAGTTTAACTAAAAAAATATGCCACGTGTGAAACGGACAGAGACGTCAATCCTGATGTTCTTTTTTTGCCTAAAACATGATTTACTCGTTAAGCTAAGATTAGTGCATGATTATAAATTGGTAAACACGACCTGACAATGAGGGAAAACAAAACAAAAATATATTGAAAATAGCTCGAAACATTTTGAGGAAAAAAAAAGATTTTGCATTATTATTTCAGTCAATTAAATATAATAAATTTCGTTTCCATCCGGTCATTTAGGATTGCCTATTAGTATAATTATAGTCAAACCGCATACCATAAAATTATATATTTAAAAAACTTAAGGAAATAATCTAGAAATACAATGCTAGTCAAGCTCAAAACCTTCAACTTCAAGTAAAGTTCTTTCCTTTTTGCTAAAAATATATATAAACAATTCAAAAATAAAATCATTAATTATGAATGATTATGATCGGTGGTTATATATATGTAAAGGAGGGGGGGAGGTTTGTGGTACGGACAAAGAGAGTGAAGACAAATCTTAGGAAGACTTTTTTTTTTGTCTCAAAATTATATTTCTTCATGAGCGGCGATTTTATGACCGTTTTATTAGCTACAAAAAGCAAAGCTTCTTTTTACAGCCTGTCTTCTTTATCATTTTTTTTTCCTACTATTATTAAATAAATAAATAATTTAATTAAAACACATTATAATCCTTCTTCCTAATAATTCTATAAAACCCTAGTCCCGTGCCGTGCCCCCATTTTTTCAACTAGCATCCACCGACGAGAAAAATGTATTGTTGTATTAATTACGTTTCAGTTCGACTATTTTTATAATTGATTTTGTTTTATCAAAAATATATTCATTCAGTTTTAAAAAATAATATTTATTTAAACACGTTTAATATTAGATTTTTTTTTTAATTAGAAATTTTAGGGAAAATATTTTTTATTTTTTCGTTTATTTTAATATTAAATCCAAATTCGCTTGTTTTTTTTTTTTTGTAAAATTATAACCAATCGAATTTAAACTCGTTTTGGTTCGGCATATCCAAACCACAATATCAAAATTCCTCAATATATAATTGATTATTGACAAAAAAAAAATATCTAGACTTTTTTTTGACGACAAACGAATGGCTTAAACGTGGATCAAATGGGTAGATTTTCACTTATCAAGAAATAGTTTACTTGGAGACGAAGAAACCTATACATAACACATAATTTTGTGTTCCAAGAAAGATGCAAACCCGAAAGTAACCACAATCTTCAGTGCCTTGAAATTAGTGTTACTGAAGAGAAGTGTCAACGAAACCATTATATGCAAGACAGCAAATAGTACCGTGTCAAAAGAGGGATTAGGGTTTGGTAGGGGTTGGCAAGAACAAAAAACCCTAGCTACCCTTGAAGATTCCACCCAAGAATGGATGATGAACCCTAAAAAATAATATGAACCAAAGTTCTGAGAGACCCAAATTGTCACATCCTATTGTTTTCAATAGTGGTAAAACCTGCATACTGATGGTGATGGCATAACCAGAAAGCAACGATGCCTTGTGAATGAAGCAACCGGAGTATTTCATGAACAGATTCTTCAGATGAGAGTAGAATAAACATAAAGGAATTAGGGTTTCGACTCTTCTTCTTCTTATCAGTAATGCATGCCGCCCAAGAAGATCAAAGAACAGAAGCTAAGCTGACGACTTGAAAATTCGTAGAGGTTTAAGGTTTTGGACTTCAAAACCTCTACGCTGCTCAGAAGGTTAGGTTTTGGATCTGGCCCGAACTCAACCCGGTTCATTGACAGTTGGGCCTTTGTGAAGCCCGTTATAATTTTTTTTTTCATTTCTGAAATTTGAAGAGGAAAAAAAGAACTTCAGTGCATTTGTTTCTCAGAACCCCTAGAAGTTAGAACAATTGACAATCAAATCTCCGATCCGGGGATTGAAAGAAGCGAGTTCACCGCGTCACTCTAAAAACCCTATCGATCGAAGGGAGCTCGAGGTAGAAGATGACGGAGGCGGTGATAAGGAAGAAGCCGGGAATGGCGAGCGTGAAGGATATGCCGCTGCTTCAGGATGGTCCGCCGCCGGGGGGGTTCCCTCCGATCCGGTATGCTCGCCGGATTCCGAGCAAAGGCCCCAGTGCCATGGCCATTTTCCTCGCCGTATCTGGTGCTTTTGCGTATGGAATGTATCAGGTTGGACAGGGCAACAAGCACCGCAGGTGAGAATCGGATGGTTAGCTCGCTCGCAGTTCGTTTCTCTGTTTTGCTTGGATGTGAGATGGGTTTGATGGGATTTTATTGTGCTATTGACGGTGTGATTAGAGATGGTGATGGGTTTGGGGAAGTTTGATAAAGCTTGCGATTGTTTGTTTTTTTGGGTAATAGCTCTCGCAATTCCATTTCGGTTACTTGCACTGAATCTAGGTAGGGTTCTTTATCCTTGAGGCTAAAGTCGAAGCGATGGATACTCAAGACTTCAAGCCTTTGTCTCCAGTTAACAGACTTGGTTAGATTTCATTATCCATCTATAGGAGTCAATGATCCATTGAGCCATCATTGTTAAGTTGAACAAAGCCATTGAATTGTCTAATGATATTGTTAGGGCTAAGATTGGTAGTCACTTGTATAATCTTTCCCTTAGCTAGCCTGGAACATGAGTTGAATCCTCCGTGCTTGCTTATGGATGCTTAGTCACGTGTTGCATAAATTTCTTCTAGTAAGTCAATCAGTTTCATCCGTTTTTTGTCATAGGCTACCTATCTTTGTCTTCGGAAGAATTTAATCTCAGTGATGATAAAAGATTCGAATACAAAAGTTATAATAAGGATGATGTAGTGCAGGGCGCTGAAGGAGGAGAAATATGCTGCCCGCAGAGCAATACTGCCCATGCTTCAGGCAGAAGAAGATGAAAGGTAGTGACTTTTTTCCCCAGAGAACCTACAGAATTAACTGCCTCGTCCCACAACTCTAGACACACTCTATATCGGTTGTGTATAGGTTTGTGAGCGAGTGGAGAAAGTATCTGGAATACGAGGCTGAAGTGATGAAGGATGTGCCCGGATGGAAGGTTGGCGAAAGCGTCTACAATTCTGGTCGTTGGATGCCCCCAGCAACTGGAGAGCTCCGTCCCGATGTCTGGTGATTTCCTAATTTTTCGATGTACGGGTTGATGATGATGATGATGAATGCTTTGAATCATTGTGGAATGTTGTTGTTCTGCGGATATTATGTTTTTGTTTATACATTTTGTTTTGTAATAAAGAATGATACAGTTCATGTATTGCTGGAGCAATGGCGCTGCCAAGTTTCGTTTTTACCGACCTCTTTGTTAGAGTATTCAACATGTAAAGTCGAGGAAAGGCAGATTTCAGTATGATTTTAATGGAAAGGAGGAAATTTTGATCGTAAAATTGAACTGAACATGGCTGAGCCACAATGCCACAGGGGGAATACTGCTCTCTCTCTCTCTCTCTGCAGGATCCATCCCCATGGTAAATTCTTCTTCTTGGCCGTCAAAAAGGTTGGAAATGTCTCCTTCAGTTGCAGACTCTGTCCCTCCCTGCAGAACTTGGTCTGGCGTTCATGTCCAAGGGAGCTAGAGATACTTGCAACTTTTGAAGACGGTTGAATTTTTGGAATACCCGTCTGTGCAAATTGATTCCTGGAGGAGACCATAAAAGGACTTAATTGGATGAAAAAAAATGGTTATATGCCTAGTTGGCTCTTGAGTGGTCGAGTCCAAATTGGCGGCGGAAAGCCATGTGGGTGTTTTGGTTCTGCGCATTGGATCAGTAATGGATGATGTCTGAGTACAAAGACAAATTGGTTGCAGGGTTTTTGTGAAGAAGAAACATCAGTAACTGTAATGGAATGGGAACACCAGACATTTACACAGTTGGTCACTTGCTTTTAATGTAGAAGAAGACAGAAACCATTACTTCTCTTTCTCTCTCTCTCTCTCTCTCTCTCTCTCCACTTCTTATTTCCTGTTTTGTTCTTCCTTCTGGTTTCTCTGTGTGGCGTTGTGATTGAAACATAATGTGAGGAAGAAAACCTGCAGATTGTCCCCGACTGTTTTTGTTTCAGAATGATTCTCAGACCCCCCAAGTGAACTTAATAAATATGTCTTGTCTTTTTCATTTAGTTTTATGAATTTCACAAATAATCTTTTGGCCAAGTTTTTCTTCTTCTTCTTCCATATATGAAATCTTTTAAAAAAAACGTAGACAGAATAAATTTACTACGGTACTTGAATGATTGGTATTATGATAGTTTTGCATATTAAACAAATGCTTATGCAATTTTAAAATCCATGCAAGAGAATGGTATTGTAATGTGTGAATACAAAGCATACAGAATTATATGATGGGATTATGTATGTTTTTTATTCAAGTATATTCTCATGCAAGGGATTCGGACGTTGATTATAAATCTTTAGCAGGGTTGGTTGTGGATATAATCATTGTAATCATGTGTTAAACAAATCATTACAAACCCATATGATATAAGCTAATAATTCCTAAATCATCAAATTAACAGCTAATTAAAAAAAGGTATCCTCCTCCTCCTCCCCATGATGATGATGATGAACATCAACCATCATGGTATTAGTTGTCCTTATCATGATGACGAGCCAACTCAATCTCATACATACTAATGAATATAGTAAAAATATCTAATCATATTGGATCGACCCAAAACTTGTTACAAATTTCAGAAGAAAAAAAAAACTCAAAATACAAACAAAATCACATTAAAAATAAATCAAAGCCTCGTATTCCTTGTAACAAAAAGAAACCCCAAAAAAACATTAAATTTTCACAAATTGTTTTTTTGGGGGATTTCCTTTTGCAAAGGAGAGGGCTTAAGCTTAGCTCCTTTTTTTTTTCTTCCCCATATAAAATTATTTCCTATTTTCTTTTTTTTTCCCTCTGCACATCCTAACGTGGAAAAATAAAATAAAAATAAAAAATAAAAACGTTTAAAAAAAAAAATTAGAGAAATCAAAAGTGAGAGATGCAGCGACGGTGACGGGCAGCGGCAGTTTTCTTCTGCTGCTTGGTTTCTTCGATCCAACTGTTGGCGATGTCGTGAGCCACGCTCATCGCGTCGAGCGACGCGCCCGATAGTCCTCTTCTCGTGAACCCCACCGCGTACAATCCCGCCTCCCCTTTCCACCCGTTTGGAAACGGGTTTTTGGGTATCCCGTCCTCCGAGAAGAAATCATTGTCCTGTTCACCAAACACACCCCCAATCCCGCTTCAATCAGTCAACCCTTCTCCTACGCTTTTGTATATTTATTAAATCTAATGTGCGGATTCGATTTCCTCAACAAATATCGACCCTTTTCCCTAGACGAAATGGGTTTTCATAAAAATGTAATCTTTTTTTTTTTGTTCCCGACAACATTAACTCCTAAACCAACATGAAATGAAACATTGTTAAAACAATGGAAATGGTGTTTTACCTTGAGCCATTTGGGCACGTTGCTTCTGTATCCAGTGGCAAGAACAACGGAATCCATCTCCAGAATCCGACCGTCGACGAGCTCCACCGTTCCCGGACCGAATTTCTTGATTGCGGGCACGATCTTGATCTTTCCCGACCTGACCTTCTTCAATGCTCCGATGTCGAGCACCGGAGTTTTCCCTGCAGTGTTCTTCAGCTCCATGGGTCCTGTTTCCGGCCTCTTCAGACCGTATTTCTCGGTGTTTCCGAGGATTATTCTCGCGAGAAACAGAAGAATCTTGTCCACGAGCCGCAGCGGCATCCACTTCATCATCGTTACGGCTAACTCGAACGTCGATTTCCCCAGAACTTCTCTCGGCAACACATGAACCTGTTCGATGATCAGACCAAAACACAGAGAAAAATCAGATGCTCTGTTTTTTTGGGCCCTTTTCAAAGTTGGGAGCTTTCGAGCAATTTTCAGAAAGCAGACTTACCGAGCTACGAACAACCATTGATGGACTTGCTTGGTGGTTGCAGAGATCAAGAGACACTTCCATGCCCGAGTTTCCGCATCCGACAACAAGAACTCGTTTTCCTCTGTGCTTTTCTCCGGACTTATAGTCGCAAGCATGAACAACTTCCCCGCCGAATTCTTCCAAACCTTCGAACTCAGGCACGACTTTCTCCGCGTTCTCTCCCGTAGCCACCACGAGCCACCTGCAGATGTACTCGAACTCGCAAGAACCGAGAAGCCCGGTTTTCGAAACAGTCTTCACACGCCACAACCCGAACCTCTTGTCGTATTTTGCAGACTGGACCGTCTCGTTGAACTTGGGGTGGATGTCAAAGTGGTTGGCGTAGGACTCAAGGTACTGAATGAACTGATACTTTGTCGGGTACTCGGGGAAATCTTCGGGGAAAGGCAAGTTGGGCAATTGACAGAACTGTTTTGGGAGATGAAGCTTGAGACGATCATATGTTCTGTTTTGCCAGAGAGAAGCAATGCAGTTAGCCCGTTCGAGGATGATGAAGGGCACACCTTGTCGTTTCAGGCCGGCCGCCACGGCTAAACCCGAGGGTCCGGCCCCGATTATCACCGGACCGTTCACCCAAATGCAACGCCGGGAGAATATGTCGCCGTCAACGGCGGGATTGAAACTCTGAAACATACTAGAAATGTTCAGACACTCTTGGTTGCTGTCGTTGTTATTACTGAACATCGTCTTCTTCAACAGCTTTGTTGTTTTGTCTGGTTCTGAGATAAGAACAGAGAAGATTTCAAGAAAGCGACGTGAGAATTTTTTTTTTTTCGGGCGGATTTGAGAGATTTTAAGGACAAAGAAAAGATTGAATGTTCGAATGGAGATTTATGGTCTGTGTCTGGTTGGATCGAGGGGAAGTGGTATAAATAGAGAAGTGGAGTGTTTGGTCACATGAGAGGCTTTGAACCAATTGGGATTTGTAAAATTATTAAATTCTTTGGGGTTTATTATATTGTTATATTTTAATTTCGAGTATTATTTAATTATCAAATGATAAGCTTGCAGCCACCTTCGAAGTTGTTAACCTTTTTTTTTCATCAGATGCAAATATCTTTTTATATCTAACTTTTTCCATATTTTAATATCACAATTCTATTTAAAACCTATCACGTTAGAAATAATTTACAACAATTACATGATACCATTGTGAAAGTTATCTCATCTTTGGTTGAACTGAAATATATGTTTTTATATTTCAAATTTTTAACGGTATTATTTTATTGTTCTATATTATATCTAGTGTTGTACGAATTAACACAATTATATCATCAAAAAGATATTTTTTTATTGAACGAGGAAGAAATTTCGATATTAAAATATGTTTCGGAAAATATTGAGATACTATGTTCTATTGTGTTTACGTTTTAAATACGTATAAATACATGTAAATCGGAATCGGTTGATTTATTTAGATAATATTGGGGAAGCTTTTGATAGTTTAATACCACATGATATAAAATAATAATATTCCAAATTTGATCAATTAGATTAATAGTCTACACTTAGTTTATTAGATTCGACAGTATCATCAATATGGAGTGCGAATTACATAATATTAACAGACGTTTTAATATGTTTTCCAAAGTTTGTTATGGATGAAATGAAATTAGAAATACAAACAATAAATTGATTTAGTTGTTATATATATATATATATAACAAAAAAATTAAATCAATTTTATTATTTGTGTTTTACATCACTTCCAGAAATAATCATTATTTTTTTTCTAATTATAAATATACTGCAAACCCCGAAAGATTATGAATGAATAATAAATGATCGCAAACAAGTGCTATCTTGAGGGCGGTCGCATTTATTTACATAAGTTCTTATGATTCTTATCTTAAAATTCCACTTTGCTCATCTATGCAATGCAAGCGCGCATATATTTGCAATGTCTCACCACACATCAATACACTAAAGTGAGATTCCAAAACTTAAAAATGAAATTATTATCTCATTAATTTTGACTATGCCTTTAATATATATATATATATATATATGTGCTATTCCACTTGTTTCATATGGATTTTTCTTTATATATTCTGCAACATGGGTATTTAGAATTTCCCGATAGGAACGGTCAGACATTCTAATAAATCTGTAATATTTCACAAAATTATAGATTAGATGCAATTTATACATAAGAAGTGAAAATAAAAAAGAAAAATAAATAAATGAAAAAAAGGTGTCAGGGTTGCCACCAAAACGACGAACCAAGAAGGGTAAAACATGTTTCTATGATCCGCTTCAATGAAGAGACATGACAACGCAGTTGCTGTTTCATTAACAACATCTCTCTGGTCCATTTTTTTATTTTCAATTAATCTCCCGTGAAAATGACGTGTGTTGGTGCACCCATTTGGTACAAGAGTACTGTTAGAATCATATTTTAGATTAATTGCTCTTAATTAACCAATATTATGAAATATATATACAAAAAAAAATAACTTGTTTATTCACGTTATAATTGATATATCTTAAGATACATAAACGTTACAAGATATAAATTATTTCTCAAAGAGTCTTAGTAGTAGTAAAATATGAACAACATGGGAATGGATAAGTCAAAAGAGGGAATGCATAAGATTGAGATTGCATAAAACATATACATGTGATGGAGTGTAAGAGTTGGATTCTAATGTTCTTGCTCTTCCCATTTAATTCGTTGTTGAAATGTCAATGCATACACACACACACACACACATATATATATATATATACATAGTTATAATATGAAATATAATGCATAGTTATTATATGCATATAGTAAGAGAAGGAGCACACAGATAGGCTATAAGTCCCAATGATGGATGCTTTGTAATTCAGCGATGGGTAGGAGGGGCTACGCATCCCACAGATTTCCACATTCCCAAACCCATCAGCACTCACTTTTATTTATAAAAAAAATCTGAAAATGTGAATATATATACACACATTATATATTAATTCCTAAAATTTGTTATTCAGGATTTATTCAATGATTCAACAAGTAAATAAACGTTTGACCGACCAAATGTACAAAGCTAAATGTAAAGAAAAAGAATCATAGTACTCTAGTTTCTTAGAAAGTTTATTTTGTCAATACACTAAAATGAAAAATCTTAAAACTATATGGAAAAATGGGTTTTAGGAGACCCATATATAAAGAAGATTGAAATGTTAAAAAAAAAGTAGACTAATATATATCTGTTTATTTTTCCAAAATACATTTGTTGAAATACGAGTGTTTGTCACTTATAATTTTATTTTTATTATATAAATAAATAAATTTATTTACATTGTTACGACTTTTACCAGACAGAAAATGTTTATTTTGTTTGAAATATTTGAAAACAAAACAAACCAGAAATACCTGTATAATAGTAAATGGGCAAAGATCGATCTTGGTAAATATATTTATAGAAATCCAAACTCAATTCAAATTGATTTATTTTATTAAAATCTTTATGTCGGACAACATGCATCTCGAAAGCAACAAAAAGAAAGGTACGAAGAGATGCATGCATATGGCATGCATTACCATTTTAATTCTTCATATATATATATATATTAATTTTTTATTAATCAGTAAAATTTGTGTGGAATCCACGTTTTTCGAAATCATTATTTGATCGAGAAACTTTTATTTTCTTTCTTTTTTCTTCGAAAAATTCAAAACGAGAGGCAAAGGAAGAGCCATACCACATGCTCGGTGATCGCACCTATAAAGGGGAATTATATAAGCAATTAAGATTTCACTTTGTATTTTGATATTGAATCAGTTTGTTACACATAAACTCCAACCCTTGATTATATATATATATATGTATGTATATATATAACCGAAACAATGTTATGAAGGGTTGAATTCAAGAAAGGAAAAAAAATTGTTATATATGGCATTTCATTCACTTCAATATTGGAATAGTATACAAATATCACGAATATATATATCTGTTAGAAATTAAATTCCTTATTCAAAGATTTTAGAGTGCAACGTCTCATCAACCTAGATGAAAAGATTGGTGGTTCTCTCTAGTCGAATGAAGACAAAATTTTAATATTATTGTTAGAAGTACAATATATCTTTTAAATTTATGTACACTGAATAATTTGGAAAATAATACAAGCAGTTAAGCTTGAATGATTAGTGTCTGTTTGATCGGAAACTCAAGAAAATGTGTAGAATCTAATTAAAGAGTTTGGATACAAAGCATGAACAACTAGAAATCTAGTACAAAACATTGGATGGATAGATGTATCTCCAAGGAAACATAACGAAGATCCAATGAACCAAGATTATATATATATGTATATATATATATATATAAGTGTATATGTATAATTGGTTGTTAAGACAGTTCTTATGGGTTGTTGCATATTCCAAATTACATGCACAACCATATTGGATAAGCAAGAAGCATGCATGTTAATCTCGAGAATGACTTATTTTGTATAATATACACAACCAACTTGTCGCTTCCATTGCACTTTCTTACTAGGAGATTAAAGATGAAAAAAAAAACTAATAAAATATGCATATATATTTTTTGCATTAATTATTATATCTAATGTCAAAATCTATAATGCATATGTATAAATTGAGTGTAAATTATATATATATATAGTGAAATTTATTTTATTTTCAACGATCAATATGAAATATAATCATGAATTTGCCTATATATCACGTATGGCTATATATACATAAATATACATACCAAACTTGAAACATATATATATGTGATAAGGATCTCGTATAATTATCGAGATTCACGTCAAAATACAATGAGATTGATGATATTTGCAAACGCACCAATCTAGAGGAGGACCGATCGATGTACATGCTATTATTTCTATATATGTTATCGGTTGACGATAGGTATAATACAATAATCGTATTCTCGAGAGTTATTGGAATGTTTTCACCGACCAATTCATCCATGTTAAAAAGAACATGAATCATTTGTCTCGAAAATGATAAATAAATAAACAAATAAACATATATCTATGGCATACATGTATGTATATATATGCTACATATGTACGTATATAGGGAATCTAAAACGAAGGGCGTGTTCGATTCTCCTTCAGGTGACGTTATGGGGAAGAGAAAAAAATTTAAAAAGAAAAAGACTTTGGGAACCGCTAGCTAAGAATTCTCATTCTCTTATACTTTTGTTATTTGGCGTGGTCTCTTATTCCCATAAATCTCTAGAATTTATTATATATATATACGACTCTAGTGGTTACAAAGCTGGCCACATCATCCGTTAGTTTTCATAAAAGTCGGTATCTAGATTGTCGTATCGAGGAATTTCGGTTTTCTTGTGCTGCAATAAACATAGTGATTCGGTTTGGGACGTATGCATGTATGAATATATACACGCATATTTGTATGTATGTATGTATGTATGTATGTATGTATGTATGTATGTATGTATGTATGTATGTATGTATGTATGTATGTATGTATGTATGTATGTATGGGGTCACATGGAAACATGGGAAGTGGAATAATAAATTCGTGATGAGAAGGAATTAGAAAAGTTTCCGTTGCCACGATTCACTTGTATCTCTTTAAAATTTCTCATTTGACATTTAATCTCTCTCTCATTTGAGCATTACAACGCCCTTAGCTTACATGTCTAATCATTCATCAATTTTATAATCGATTTAACATTCCATATAATCGTATAATTATGATATTTATTTATTTATTCAAATCTAATTATCCGAGGGAAGATATATTATCACGTTTAATATATATTTTTTATATTAATATAGTGTGTTCCGCCATGTCATCCTAGGTTATAAATAGACCCTAGCTCTTTAAAAACAACTACGAGAATAATTAATGCTCCTAACTTGTAAATTCACAAATCCTATACTTGGAAATTGGAATGATTGATTTGGTGGGTACTCGGATAACCTAAGTATTGTATGTAATTTTTGCTGCATAATGATCTAGTTATATGAGTAATCGTTTATTAAATATGTAATTTTCATGTATGTAGAAGATAAACGATTACTAATATGAGAGAGTAATCGTTTATTAAATTTGTGGATATTGAACATAGATTTTAAAGATTCGGTAATCTTCTTTCAATAGTAAAATAAAATAAAATAAAAAAGACATGGTGTGTGTGTGTATGTATATGTATATGCATATGTATATGAAGGAAGTCTATAAGTGGAATATATACACTATCAGCCAAAATTTGGTCAAATATTTTGTTGGGTATATATATGATATGTAATTCGTTGCAAACCCAATCATTTCCCAAAAAATTATTTGGTGTGAAGGAAACAAATGATTATATAGCCATTGTAATTATTTTTAATTAAAAGAATAGCCCTTTCTGGCCCATTAGTGTAATCATTGCCGGAGAATCTCACCAAAAATAACATTTAATTTAATATTATATCTCGAGCCAAAATGAGAAATTATTGCTTACAAAATATTTCCGAAATTTTACCAAAAAACAAATTCCGAAATAACGTTCATATATTCACACACACACACACACATATATATATATATATATATATATATATATATATATAAAGATTCGATCGGCGTAGTCAGCTACTTAATCATGTGACATCGATTAAACAAGTCTAGTAAATGAAGCCATCCAAATCGCATTTTACAAGTTTCAACTTAGATAATAAATATAAACCTAATTTCTTGCTTAATTATTTCTGTAATTATTTGTTTATTTTATATTATTATATTATGAATGTTATAGTTGAATATCAATAGGTTATAGGTCACATGAAAATATTCCGAAACTGTTTCTTCTCTGAAATGGATTCTACATATCTATCACTAACTTTATTCTCTAGACAATATTTCGAAACAAAAAATACACATGGTCCGTTATAAATAAAAAAAGTGTTCCATGAAAACAAATGCAGCCAAATTTTTTTTTACAGCCAATGTTATTAATAGAAATATCCTAGATTTGGTATTCCCTGTGGACACATGAAAAATATTCAGAAGAGTCGCAATCCATATATAAATTTCTATAGATCTTAACCAAATATAATATCTTAACACATATACATATATACATACACGTATATATTTATACGTATATCATCACGAGGTCAAGTCAATTTAATTCTCAGATAAAAAATATTATAAAAAACATACGGCTCACAGAATTTCATTTTTTTTCCTCCAAAATAAAAATAAAAATAATAGACGCATCTAAGCCACTTATTTCTGATACCATTAAACTTAGTCTCACTTATTTAAAACAATATATATATATATATATAATTAGTAATTAATATTAATTTAATGTATGTCTCTACAAAAATTGAATTAATTCTCTCCGTTGGTATCCATATAATATTTATTTATTTTGTATCCATATAATATATATATATATATAATATAGTGAGAGAGGATCAAGAAAAGGACAAAAAAAAAGAGGGTGATAAATGCAACTAACACCATAACTGTAATAACTGAAAGGGTATGGAAATATAATAAATGGTGGTGGGGGAGTCAAATGGTTCCCTTTGAATTGGACCCAAAAAAAAAAAAAAAAATCAGAGGGAAGTGCATGTGATCACATGAATGTCGGAATTTTCATGCACTCGCGCCACCCCCTCAGGTGTCGTCCTAGCCTCACCCCTTAATTTATTTTTTTTGTTTTATTTCTTGTGACATATTTTTATTTATTTTTTCACTGGTCACAATTTTCAGTTCGTTACATTAAAAAAAAAATTATTTGAGTCTGATGAAATAATTATAATTTAATTTTAGTTGAATTTTTAAGCGTCGGATTACGTGTGGACGACACATGAAAGTCGGCATGTGCTTTTATCATTCGATAATAATATATTAGTATACATCATTTAAGTCAATGAAAGAAAATCATATTATTTTTGTGTTTTATTTTCGTGTGTTGATAAAATTTAGAAGTTTGAGATGACGACGGTCGCTATTTTAATAGTTGGAATATTGTGAATTTAGTTTATGAGATTTGTATAAATTGGTTGGAATTCGGCAAAAGTATAATGATAAATATAAAACACATCTTCCAAATTCCTAATAAAAATAACAACATTAATAACATGTATATAGTTTGTTGCCACGTAAATCTTGCTACAAACAGAACGTGTATTTGTGGTTTGACCGGGGCTATGTATTTAATTAGGATGTAACATTTAGTACCATAATTAATAATATGATAATTTAATAACGATTACTACTATTATTATTGTTTATTTATTTATTTGTGCGGAGCTTAATACACATGCAAAGTAGTATGAGCCAACTGTAAAACGGCATGGAAAATGAGTAAAAACGGTCCAACCCCCCAATATTCTTGCAGATGTACATTGCATTTTGCTCGACAATTTTTCTGACCTCTCTCTTTTTTTTTCCTAGGAAAATAATTTTTTAAAACTCCCTTTAAATATGATCGCCTTTTCTTTTCTTTGTTTTTCTAATTAAATGCAAACGGATTCATTCAAATTATTATTTATATCAAATGAAGTTAACGATGTTCATGGCTATTGAGTGAGCAATACGTATATATATATATATATATATATATTTACTTTCCTCCACAACGATTAGGTTTCATATATATATATATGTATTTACTTTCCCCCACAACGATTAGGTTTCGAACAGAATTACCGTTACAAAATATTTGTATTTGATATCAGAATAAATGGTGACATGTTTCATGTGATTGTAATAATATGATCCTTTCTTATAATATATGGTATACACTCAATATTTATAAAAATTAATTAATTAATTAATTAATTAACAGGTTTTATAACAGAAGATTATGACGTGGTTTTTGTTTAACAAATGAGAGTGATCAACCTAAGTTTCAAACTAAACGGGGCATATAATTCATAAGTAGCCTAAGCCCAATCCTATGTGGCACATTTCTGCATCCTACAACATGGTTGTTTATATCAATAATTCTGATATAATTACATCTAATTATATATCAGTAAATGTTTTCGACAACATGTAAGGCCTTTGAGTAAATCTTATAAACTATGAGGACGTTTTTGTGATTATACCAAAAAGGCCCAACAATAAAACTAAAGTGGCACAGATGTAAATATGCTTTAAGACGGGGGTATTTAGGAGATTAGGATAAACGCCGCCGTTTTGTTCCCCGGCTCCATTCCTCTCACCATCGAATTGACCCCGCCGTCTCATTCTTACTCCTGCTCCATTTCCATGGCGAATTTCAGCTCTCGAATCCCTAAAACACCCCTGCAACGCGCCGTTACGAGAGCAGACGGAACCCTAACGGCGTCGGTAGTTCATCTAGCGGTCGCATGGAAGCCCTTAACGAGAGGGGAATTCTACAGAGGCCACGAAGTCCATGGTATGTAGTGCTGTTGAACTCGTCAGTAATTAAGAAAGATATGGCTTTACGATTTTTCTCTCGATGGTTTCGTAGATAGTGAATTTGAATTTACGAGTTTGGACTTGGCGAATTCCTTTGTGATATACCGAAGGAAACCAATTTACTCAGTATCAAGTTAGAGTGATGATAGTAATTTTAGTGGGCATGAAATGAATATGATGTATTTTACAGATGGGAAAGTGTTTTTTTTTTCCTGTCTTCTGAAGATTCAACAAAAAAAAAAGTATGGATCTTTCTCATTGCAGGGAAAAGCTCCAGATTGTGTGCTTTGGCATGAATTTCTTGTCTATCTGAATTGAGTTCAAAACTTAACGTATTTTGAATCCATACCATGACAAGAGAGACTGGTGCTTTTGGATTTCGATGAATTCTTTTACGTTGAAACTGTTGTAGGTGAGGCTGGTGAGGCAGGACAGTCTTCGCATTCAAATGGGATAAGGTAAAGGTCGAATATAATCCTTGTTATTCTGCGTAGATCGTGTTCTGCTTCAGCTCCAGTTCAGTTCTCTTTCTGACAATTTTTCTTCGTGTTTCTGTTTCTGACAACCTTTGATCTGCTCACTACTGCTGATAACATACTCCAGGGCCGTATATGTACCCTGTGCCGAAACTCGAACGCAAATCCAATATATCAGACTGCATCATAGATATCTGAGTATTGAATATTATTCTTTACAGTTCCTTTTTCAGAGAGCAAAGTGCGATAAGCAATGGTGGAGAACTAACTGGTCTGTTTCATCATCTTCTTGGGGTAAGCTTTCAGAGTGTTTGCTGTGATATAAGTTTGAGAAACACATTTCGACCAAAAAAAGAAAGTTTGAGAAACTCAGATTCTTCAATGTATACACATCCCTAATTTGTAAGGTCTTAACTCCTTTTTTTCCCCACAGGCTAGCCGATCAAACAGACCTGCCTTTTTAAGGGTGCAGTCAATGAGCTATCAGTCTGTGGCCGATGCTCATGTGTCTGCCAGAAGTGCAGTTAATACTCAGGTACAAAAGAGTGCTTGGAAAATGAACTTTGTCTTTTGCAATTCATAATCTAAATGGGAACAGAAATTATATTTCCAAGCCAGACAGTTGTCTGATGTTTTATGTTTATAACCAAATCACCATCGTACTATTCTACTGTCTCCTTCCGAGAAATCTTTACATCTTGGATGAGGTGTAAGGTGAATCACAGGCCTATGAACAGCTCCTGAAATGTATTGATTCTCATTACTGGGGGGTGTGTAGATCTTATTAGTTTCATATAGATTATAGACGTGTGTGTATGTGTTCTGTATGCTGGAAGGATGTCACTTTCCTGAGAGTAATTACTCATTTCACTGTTTCTCAAGAACGAGATTCGTCATATGCTTTTCCGCTTGGTGTAGGACGAGAAAACTGTTGCTGATTCATCAAAGACGGAAAATGTTGAGGCCCCGCGAGAGCATCATAATGGCAAGAGCATACCCAAGAAGGATAAAATAAAGTTTCTTGTGAATACTGTAAGATATGTTTTCAATCTTCAGGATATTATTTTCGCTTTTTCTTAAGGTTATACGGTTTCCCAATTATTGGTACCGCATTTGATACAAGTCGGTTTATGTAGCTTCTCGATATCAAAGACAGTAAAGAAGCTGTTTATGGAGCTCTCGATAGTTGGGTTGCTTGGGAACGTAATTTTCCAATCGCTTCTCTCAAGAGAGTGATAGTTCTTCTCGAGAAGGAACAACAATGGCATCGAATGATTCAGGTATGTATCATTCACATTCTCCATCCCCTTTTTTCTCCATTGGTGAAAAGGGGAGCTGAGATCATTGGTACAAGTGAATTTCTGGTCTAAACAGTTGGTGAGAATTTATGTTCTTGGTTTTTCCACTGGTAGGTAATTAAGTGGATGCTAAGTAAGGGGCAAGGAAATACAATGGGAACTTATGGACAGTTGATACGGGCACTAGACATGGATGGTAGAGCTGAAGAGGCTCATGGTATTTGGCAAAAGAAAATCGGGAGAGATCTGCACTCAGTGACTTGGCAATTGTGCGGACAAATGATTGCCATATATTTCCGGAACAACATGTTGGAGGAGCTTGTTAAGGTTTGTTTCCTCCTTTCAACATAAACACACATTCAAACTGGTTACAACTTTGCTGCAATGAAATTCTTTCAAATGATCTGATGATCACTGTATTTTTCTATTTTTGCACTATTATTACTTCCTACCCTTGTTTCAGCCTGATATCAACTTTTTGTGTTTTTGTTTTTGTTCTATGAAGCTTTTTAAGGATCTGGAGAGTTTTGACCGTAAGCCTCGGGAAAAAGCAGTAGTGCAGAGGGTAGCGGACGCTTATGAAAAGTTAGGCATGCTTCATGAAAAAGATAGAGTATTGACAAAGTACAACGACCTTCTTAACGGTTCAACATCGCTCGGTAAATCAAGAAAAGCTTCTTCTAGGAACAAGACGAAACCAGGTGATTGATTCTTTCTGAATTATATTTACTACTTTTGGGTACGGTTCCATTGTGGGATCACTCCATTCATGGAGGAAATGGCTAAGGCATGTACGGAAACTATGGGCTAAAAAAACCTAAAGTGTGTGTGTCGGATAAAAATAGCGTCTATGTTCTTACCATGATGCATATTCTCGGATCATACTCGAAACTCTTGGTTCTTAGAACTTTAACTCGTGGTTTCAGGGCATGGAAAACCCGCTGAATCAACCTCAGATGATACCCCAGAGGAAGAAAAAGCTGTCTTGCAAGAACACCAGAGTTAAAAAAGAACTTCTCAGTTACCATTTGAGATCTTAGGAGGGAAGAACCCTCCTGTATGGATCAAGAACAGAGTTGAAAAGAGAACTTATCAGTTACCATTTGAGATCTTAGTAGCAAAGACTGTATGGATCAAGAACAGAGTCTGTAAGATATTAACATGTGCTGGAAAAAGGGTTTTGGAAAATGTACGAGATTCTTGTCTGGACACAAAAGGAATAAGAGACGTGCAAAGAAGAGGCGGATTCAAGAACACAGTTCTCTGTTTTGTTCTGCTCTCGTTACTATTCTCTAGTAAACCGGACCAATCTAGCTTTCAGAATCGGTTATCAATTCTTGTACCAGACCGGACCGGTTATCGTTGGATATCAATCGTCTTGACTCTTGAGTGTCATCGTCTCTGTCTGTCGGCAGTGTACTCCGTCCATGACTTTCCTCTTATCCAAATCATTTTTCTCTCTAACACTCAGACCCCCTAGTGCGATTTCCATGGCTACTCTCACCTCCAAGGCTCGCCTGAGAGGCGTCGTCTTCGACATGGACGGAACCCTGACGGTTCCCGTCATCGATTTCGCCGCAATGTACAGAGCTGTCCTGGGTGAACACGAGTACAAACGCATCAAGGCGGAGAATCCAACCGGGATCGATATTCTGCACCACATCGAGACGTGGAGCTGGGATAAACAGCAGCAGGCCTATCAGATCATCGCCGATTACGAGAAGCAGGGGATCGATCGGCTCCAAATCATGCCTGGTTCGGAATTTATCTGATTTTACATAGATTCTGTGAGGCTGTTAGGGATTCGCTTTATGGGTATTATACGCGTGGAGAAAGGGAGAAATTTTGATTTTTTATGGGTTTTCTGGTGATGAATGAGTTAAGAGAGATATGATGGGGCTGAAAGGAGGATAATTTGTTGATTAGCTATTGCAAAAATAGCTTGGAGATCTGCAGCTTTAGTGATTGAAATTGGATAATAGTGGGGGAAATGTGGAGGAAGAAGGATATTTTTTGTGATATTCCCTCATGAGTGTTGTGAAAAAAAAATGCTCAAATCATCTCGAGACAGTGTCCGATAGAAGCTTGTCAAGATAGAGCCAGACCCTAATAAAACAGGATAGAGAAACACGAATTGCTAGTGACAGACATGGCTGTGGGTGCTTGAGCTATTTTTAGTTGAGTTCAGTGCCTGCATTGCCAGGTGATGTAAGTTCAGTTAAGAAGCTGAATGTGGTTTTCTTCTTTTTCTCCAACCTGGTTGAGTTTTCTAGCTAGAGATTACTGGTTTAAGACTGAAAGAAAACTCCCCGTCCTCTGATTCAAAGTGGGTCTGATAATGTCTAGTGTTTTGTAAGCTTGAAATATCATGACCGTTTTCGCAAATTATGCACTTCTAGCTGTAGCAGTCATCAAGCTCTCACCTCGTGGAGCTCGTGAGTCATTTCATGCTCAATTTTGATCTTTTACGTGAGAGCTTTTCTTCAAATTTTCGGATCTTCCTTTCCTTATTGTTTTGGTTTTCAGCAGTCGGAAATAAGTTGATTTCTCATTCTTTTACGTTTGGTGGTTTCACGAGTTATCATCATCTCTCCGTCAGCTAGTCAGTACAATACTTTGATAACCTACTTGGTCTCTTTGTCTTATAGAATGCCAAGATTAAGATAAGCTGAAGATGATGGAAAAAAATATCAACTCTCCTCGGAGGACATGACTGAGAGAAATAGGTTTTGCTTCTTAGGTCAACCACGTCACATAGATGAAGTAGTTTCTTTTCGTTTTTCCGTTCTGTTTCGTTTGATGTAAAGAGTTTGCTTAACCTCTAATATGCTGCCAAACGATATTGTAGGTGCTGCCGAACTATGTGCCTTTCTTGATTCCAGGAAGATTAGGTCAGTTTTCAGCTTCTTTTAGCTTTTTTTGTTTTTTGAAGCATCACAATTTCCTCAGCCTGATAACTTTACATCTTACAACCGTTGGCGTTTCTAACATTTAGGTAAAAGTCATATTCTTGCTTTGTTTTAGTTTGTGCCCTTGTGAATTGAAAACAAAAATAGCAAGAGCTCTTCTGTTTAAGCTTTCAGGTGTGTTCCCCAGTTATGTATACTGCTAGCAACATATCAAAATGTGGGTCAGTGCACGTGTAAGGTTTAGATTTTTCCTGCCTGCAGTTGTTTAATCTGTCGAATATTATTATTCTCACATCACTATGCCAGACTGCCAGTTCTTGGTAGTATGGAAAGAAAATATTATACTCTCGGGCTTCAGTTCGGATCAGGGCATCACATTCTTGAAATTCCTCGATGGTATCATAAAGTTCATTGTTGGTTTTGGTTTAAGACGTTCGTCTAATACTTGCATCTATACCCTCCTTTGGTTATTTTGCGTTTGTTGCTGTGAATCGGTAGAGTTACAAAACCATGTACGCATATTGCAGGAGGGGATTAATCACTCGCAACGTCAAGAAAGCAATCGACATCTTCCATGAACGTTTTGGGGTAAGTGTTTCCAACTCTGAAACAAGAATCGGGAATTCCCCGATTGGTTTGGTAGCTTATCCGAGAAAATCAGATGCAGCTAGCTCTCAATATGTGTTTTTTCTTCTTTGTCGTGGGGGCAGGTTGTGTTTTCTCCCGCGCTAGGGAGGGAGTTTCGGCCATATAAACCGAACCCAGACCCGCTGCTGCATATATGCTCCACTTGGGATATCCGGCCCGATCAAGTCATAATGGTTGGCGACAGCTTAAAAGATGATGTGAGTGCCTGACTATATACATTACCGTCTTTGGCCGAATATATTATGAATTTCAACTTTCTTCCCGATTCTTGTTTTCAGATAGCTTGTGGGAAACAAGCAGGAGCCTTGACGTGCTTGCTGGATGAGACCGGGAGGTATGGTTCGGAAGACTTTGCGGTCTCTGGTCTTGAGCCTGATTTTAAGGTCAGTTCCTTGTCTGAAATCCAGAAGATATTGGACTCGAACTTCGACCTGACACCCCATTCTTGATTCTTCCCCAACTTCCTATTGTTAGTTGATACAGTTTCTTCCTCCTCACCAGAGGGAGTGTCACTTGTTATTTATTATGGTGTAATAATATATTTCCAAACTAGGGTTCTTATTTATTCTTATCCCAGAAGAAACATTAATTTGGTATTTCTTTTTATTTATGAAGTATCGTGAAATATTTTATGCCAACCTATAACAAAACGCACATACTATCACAATCATTTATTTCTCCCATGTATTATATATATATATATATATATATATATATATATATATATATATATATCTGTCTGTATGTATGTCTGTATGTCTGTATGTCTGTATGTCTGTATGTATGTATGTATGTATGTATGTATGTCTGTATGTATGTATGTATGTATGTATGTATGTATGTATGTATGTATGTATGTATGTATGTATGTATGTATGTATGTATGTATGTATTACAGAATACAGATTTTTCATAAATAGACGCGCCTCTGCCTCCCGACAGTGTGGCAAACGTCAAGATAAGGGCGTTGCTCCATTCCCTCCCAAAACCTTTTTTTATATAAAAAAAAAATCCAAACCACAACAAACAAAATATGTCAATTAGAATTACTAATGGTTATTTGATTGTCAGTTTATGGAATTTATGTGAAAAAAAAAACAGGAAATGTTTTGTTTTGTTTTTTTAAACTTGGAAATCGTAACAAATACAAGGCCTTAATCTCATGCCTGACCCACCACAGGCCACCACTCCCTCCGGAGCCGCCATCACCGCCGGATTTTTCTTGTCAATGTGCAAACTTTGTCTCCTTTTAGTGAGAGATCTGTTTTTTTTTTCTCTCCATAGCGCACACACACATATATATATATGTGTATATATGATGGAGTTGAGGCTGAGATCTTTGGAGTTAAACCAAACTCTTAGAACTATCAGAGATATTTGGAGTTAAATCAAATGTGATATGTTCACCATATGTTTGATTACACGTGAAAAAAAGGCAATTATCATCCACTTATGATTATCCATTCTGACCAGTAGTGTCTGCAGATGCAAGAAAAGGGCAAAAGTCAGTCTCAAATCGGCATCTGAACATTACAAAATCTCAGATCGTTTCCTTTATGACAGGTATGTGATGGTATATTGTACGGTTTACTGAACGTTATACAGAACCCATCCACACAAAAAACCTCATCTTTTGAGGGTTTCTTCATGTTTTAGACAATAAGGTTCCGTTTTTCTCGAGTTCCCGCTGTCTGGCTCGTTCCATTTTCCGCTTTCGCCATTCCTCCAGTGCTGCATGGATCAGACTTGGTGTCAGTTGTTTCTGATCAAAATGTGTGAAGGCGTGCAAACACAGGATCATGTCAGGGTTTGTTCTATTTTGTTACCTTTCAAGCTGGAGGCATCGTTCAATGCACGGAAATCCTTGAGCCGTTTGGAGAGATCAACTGCTGTGTTCTGCTTTGCATCTTTCTGCTGCTCGGTCTCTTGCTCTGCAGATACCTCTTGCTCGATCTCCCGAACCTGCAGACGAGAGAAAAAAAAACAGAACATAAACTACATGGTTACCAATACGGATTGCGGATGAATCTATGAAAATTTCATCCCAACCCCATTAAGGATCAAACCTCACTCAGGGCATGAGTTCGACCGACAGAATGGTCAGAAGAGGCAGAATGTTGCAACTTACTCTTTTTATGAGTTCCAAGGGTTGCATTGCAAGCCGAATCTCTTCAGCCTCCTTGATCTGCCTGAGCAGAGCTGCGTTTCACATGGTAATGGTCACGGGCACATTCCAGAAAGAACCCAGAAAGCAAAACGAGAGAAATATCTTTGGAAGAAAATTTCTGAATCGAAATGAACACGAGCATAATCTGATAGATGAGGGCAGAAGCTTGAGTGCACAAGACTAAAGCTTTGTCTATAAAGGAATCTCAATGTCAACAGTGATGAAACTTCAAAAGGAGCACTATGCCTTGCTCATACATTCTGATACGCTCCCTAAACCCTGAAAGAACACAGCCAGCAAACCCTCTGAATCGAAACTGGAGAAAGATTCTTCCCTATCCATCATAAATCGTAAACCCTAAATCCACACAGAAGCCAATCTGCTGGTGTCTTATCAATAACCACACAAAAGGACCAAAATTATCTTGTTCGATCAAATAACCCCTTGTAGCATCGGAATCGGGATGTTTCAACAAATCCGATGCGTCTTTTCTGATCCGATAAACACCCATCAAATCATTTTCCCTAAAGCGCCAAACTTGAACCAAATCCGATGGTATCGCAAGAAACTACGCGAGATTAGGATAAACCCAGAAGGATCTACAAAGAGGGAAAAAAAACACGGCCAAACCTGAGTCGAGCTGGTGAGAGGAGATTCCAGAGCGAGAGGAAGAAGAAGAGAGAAAACCCAGAAGGAGGAAGACGACGAGGAGGACGTTGATGACAGTGAGAACAATAGTGGCGTTCTTGAAGGAGAATCTGAGCCGCCATGGATGGTGATTATGATGCTGATGATGATTGTGATGATGTATCTCCATCTCAGTTGCTGCTCGAGACCGTATCCGTGCCCTCGAGAATTAGAAACCTGGGATTGGGAGAAAACTGACGAAGACGAGAGTTGACTTCGAATTTCCGCTTTCTGTTGGACAAATTCCGAATCTCCATTTCTTATTTACTTTGGGAAAACTATTTAATTTTCCTTTTTTTTTCCATTAGAAAAAATATGCAAAAAATAAAAAATAGAACTCAATAAAATTTTGTCAAATGAAATAATAATGAATCTACTACTTTTGGCGATGCTCCAAATCTCATTTGGATCTTAATATTAATTAATATATAGATAATTTTGATTTAGTACCAACTTTATTATGACTTGCTACTTTTTGTATCTATAATCTAACGTTTTAATAAAATTCCATCGTCGGAAGCTTAGGGATTCATATGTCTAACATCTTATATCTTTCATTTCCACGTACGCATCTTCTAACAAAATTTATCTTTATATTTTAATTTATGTAAATAGATTTAGTTTGTTCGAAAACGATAACGATTTTGCAATTACAATTTTGATTAAAGGTTTATCATCACAATTATCTTTATATAGAGCAAGAAGCAACACCAAGAACACCGAACCAAACAAGAACAGTTCCTTTCAATCCAAAACACAGCAAACTCAGAGACACAAACTACTTTTCTTTAAGACACGTTCCTTAGATTCCTGAATATGTACAGAATCGGTCGAAACAAATCCTGTATTGTAAAATCAGAACCATAGAAGAAATAAATAAAACATAAGAAGAAACCAGAGGAAGGAGAGATCAATGGATCTTCTTCAAAAGGTTATCACACTTCCAAAAAACTCGAAAAACGTAAGCTCTAAACGGGATTGTGCCTTTGTCTCTCGTTCCGTTCTTGACGTCTCGGAGCTGCATTCACGGCGTTTGAACGCAGGATTCAGATTCATCTTGCATGATGTTCGAGAAGATATGTATAGCAAGAACGGTTTGTAAACGAATCACGATGAGTTTTTTTACATACCGAGCCCATTAGCTTCAGAGGTTCTCATGATTCTCAGCCTCCTCACCGAGCCGACGAACATCCTAACATGGGATGAAAACAAACGGTTTACAGATCCATCGGTGAAAATACTTTAAGACACTATCAGATCAAAAGTTTCGGCATAGATTTCGTTCTGTACCTCCAAGGAACGTCTCCAACGAGCATCCAGTCGCCTTCCTTGTCTTCATAAGTGAGAACAAATTCCGATGATCCATCCAGAATCTTCCATGCCTTTGCCTTATCCTTCTCCCTGCAATTGCCTGTTGGCGACAGAGAAGGAAAACAGAATGACAAAATGATACTCATCCATCTCAAAACACGGAATGCATCACCATCATGTAGATCTGCGATTATATAACGTGAGAAGTTCGTAGAGGAGAAGACAGAGACAATGTGAACCGACCCGTCAGTCCAATAACCGAGCTTGGTCGGAAGAACATGTCCTCAAGGGTTTTGGCCAAGTTCTCATACGACGAGTGAGCACTCATATCCACCTTTCTGCCAATGGCAGCTCCATCCATGTTCGCCTTCACGAACCCAACTTTCGTCTTTCCGTTCCCTTTCTTCTCATCTTCTTTGGGTCTATCCTTGTCACCTGCGGCAACTTTCTTTACTTCTTCTTCTTCTGATCTTGGCGCCTTCATAGCTTGGTCCTTGACCAAGCTGTTCATCCTATGTGACCCAATCGGAGGCCATCCCACCACCTGACTGCTACGAGCAAGAAAGATGTTGATGTATCATCAGAATCAGATGTTTGAATCATTGAAAAACGCAAATCATCATTCCGAATACATATGAGTTGGAACTATTCATCAGGGATCGACAGGAAAAGGAATCGCCTTTGCAATACTCAGATCAACTACAGTGCCTAACGAGCTAAAAAGCTCATCAATGGCGGCTCTTTTCTACAGATAAAGAGACCTCAGATACGCGTCTGCTTATAGAACCTCTGTTCTCTACATTATGAGTTTAAGTGTAACGACAACAGCAACGAACATTATGAAATCAAATGATATCGTTTTTTTTGGGATTTCGTGCGTTCTGCTGCGACAATAAAGGGATTATCTTGAAATTTCCCCATTCCTATTTTCTCAGGAACCAAACGGAAAGCAAAAAAGGTTCGTGCTTTTGGGTCAGAAAGTACCCAACCTGGAACGAGGGGGAGATGCGCCTTCGTGAGAAGTAGATTCAGCAGCTCGTTTGGAGCCGACAGAGGGGAAGTCTTTAGCCGTCAGGATCCTTCCATGCTCACCCCACGCTCCGCCGCATGGCTTACCGGTCTTTCCGGAGGCGCCGCTAAGGCTGAGACCCAGACCCAGCTCGAGCTCGCTCTCCGCCGGCCCCGCCTCCACTTGTGAGCCAACAATCATCACAACACCAATGAAATTCAAGAAAAACAGAGAACCCAAAAAGCCAAATGACCCAAGATATCAGAGGACTCTCTTTTCTTTTCTTTTTTTTGCAGAAGCTGATGAGGACAAAGGAGGGAAGAGAGAAAGAGGCTGTTTGTGAGAGAATTTGGGGAGAGAGAGAGATCAAAGAGAGGAGTGTCTGGGGGGGGGGGTGGAGAGAGTGATGAGGATGGGGCCCAGGTGTCTGGTTTTACAACCAAAGTTTCTGCCTTTTACTCATTTTCTTGCAGACATCATCATTTTTGTCGTGCCCTCTTTCCTTCATTGTTTTCTCATTCTTGTCAACTAACCGAAACCTTTGCCTTAAGGGGAGGAAAGAGGAAAAGAGAGAGAGAGAGAGAGAGACTTATTTACAGTGTGTAATTCATTACTTTTTTTTTGTTAAAGTAATTCATTACTTTTTCATCTCCTTTCTTAAAATATCTGTATTGGGTTTTGTTTGTGGATGCGCACACTTCCATCGTATATGCAGAGATGATGATGGTCGTGATGATGATGATGATGGGGACGAAGAAATTTCTTGTCGGTCCATTAGTAACCCTAAAATTAATTATACAAGTATAATGTAAAGTTTTCATGTCCATGAAGCGTATATCATCATCCAAAACTTGTAAGGAAAAAAGCTACAGAAAGATCATTGCATGCCCCAGGTGAACAATTAATTTCATGTCAAATACTAGTTGGTGGAAAAAAAAATTGTTTAAATAACTCAAAATTTTAAATATATGCCTAGTTAATGTAGTATTTAGTTTTCAATTTTTTTTATATTAGATCTAAAATTCAAACTACATAATTAGAAATTCCATTTGATAATTTTCAGACGATTATCCAAATTATTATTTTTTACATTGAAACAAATATGTTGGATTAAATGAAATCAAGTGTTACTCAATTTTTCCAATTAGTTGTACATTTGTGATAGAAATATACGTATTATTTTTTGTTATTTTTTTTTTAAATGATATAATTTTGTTTTGCCCGGGGTCTTTCTTCTCTTCATAGGAACAAAAGCCTTAGAAAAGTTGAAAGCTAAGTGGGCCGTCAAAAAGGTCAAATTAGAGAATGGTTAGAGAAAACAAAACCCAATTAGATTAGAAAAAAAATAAACTACTAATAATTTACAATAATTAATATAGATTTTCCGAATATATGTGGAGAAAGCTGAAAATCTTTTATCATTTCGAATCATATGGAAAAAGAGACTGAGGGACCACATGATATTATAAAAAAAAATTATAATTAAGGTTGAGAAAAATGATACAAAATAGCTTTGTGCTTATAAATTATTTTCTTTGATGTGATCCACAATATTAATTATATTCTTTTGATGTTAACAATCGGTCCTTGGAATATGTAATTAATATAAAAATTTATTTTGTAAAGAAAAAATGCAAAATAAATATTCAGACTTATAAAATTCGAAACCAAAAAGAAGAAATTTTGAAGCAATTGTATGTAGAGTGAGAAAATACAATAACGAGTTTTGTAAATACTAAATACATAATTAAAAGAATTAAAAATAAAATTCAGATTGTAAAAAACAAGAACTAAACCAAGTTAATACTAATAAAATCTAATGACGGAGTTGGGGTTATTAGGAGACAAGAAGAAAAGGCTAAACGTATTGTGGGGAGTTTTAGGAAACAAACAAAAGAAAAAGGTTGTCGTTTTAAGGGGGACAAAACGACAAGAACGCGTGGCCCGAAGAACTCATTAAACGACACGCTGTTTCGACAGCCTCCACGGGACTCCCGCGTCTTTTACTTCTTTGGTTCAATACATACATATACAGACGCCTCTCTCTCTATATATATACATGTATCATATATGATACTCATGCATGGATTGCATGAGATGTCAGCAACTTGCATGGATAAGTCAAAGTATATGGAATCAAAAACAATTGCGCAAGACTGTAATGCAAGAGTTGCCCTTTGGAGTTTGGACCCTGAAACTGCTTCCAATCAATCAATGCTCTCCCTTTAGATTAACATCGTTTGATTTCTCTCGCATGCATGGTGATGGATTTTACTAAGATTACTGCTCCATATACACATATACATATATATACGGTGTATATGTAGTTGGCTGGCTTTGCAACAGGAACTCTCTCTGATTCTTTTTGCTCAGTACATGATCAAAATTGGAACACTAAACCCTAAACCCAAGAAATTAAGAAACCCTGCATTCGTTATTAATCCTGAATACCAAACTCTAACCCTAGCTAGAAACCATAAACGTTACATATGAATTAGAAACCTTCTATCATCCGATATATGCCAGCTTGTGGGCGCAGCTGATGAGCTTTGTCTTTATATATTGTGGGCTCCCAAGTCTTAGAAGCTGCTAGGGCTCTGTATCTATCTCAGCCGACAAGGCAGGGAAGATTTCAATTCATCATATATATATATCCTGCAACAAAAGGTTCTGTCTTTGGGTAACCGGTGTCATTGGGCGGAATCAGACTAATTCCAGAGTCGGGAACAAACCATATGATTATAATTTATGTTTCCCTTTCTAATTTGAAACTCGAACTGGGAACGGAACAAACGTTTTACGTTCTCATTTCACCGGTTGATCTACCTAAGTTGGGTTCAACAAAAGGTTGAAAAGACATAAAATCTAACTCAGAGTTAGTGATGTAAAATGAGTTGGCTCGACTCGGCCCATATCGGTTCGGCCCAGCTCGTTTTTGATCCAGCTTGTTCGGCCCGTTTTATTATTTCGTGTCCATACTCAACACTTACAAAAGCGAACGAACGAAGTGAAATTCATAGTTGTGGTATCAATTATCAAACTGAACAAAGACAGTTCATGTCTGAATCCCGAGTTCGTTGGAATACCACAAAGTATTGTAGAGATGAATCAGTAAACATTGTAAGCCCAAATGAGAATGGCTCTCCGGAATCCTAAATTTATTTACGTACGTTGTAACTGTTTTCTTATGAGTTTAGTAAATCATACTGCCACTGAATTATATATTTTTCAATTTACATCTTTATTATTAAATATGATTTTTCTCTTTTCTATTCAGAATTTCATTTTTTCATTTGAAGTTATAACTCAAAAGAAATTCGAATGGCTACATTATTATTATTATTATTATTATTATTATTATTATTACAATGCAGATATTTTTCTGCCAAATAAAATAGATAAGTTAAAAAAAATAATATTTTAAAATATTACAAATTGCATAGAAGAAAACAAAAGGTTAGTGGAATCCTACACATTTTATCGTGATAAAAACAAAAGCCTTCACGTTCCGTCGAAACTTTATTTTCGGTCCAAAAATATATTATTAGATATAATATACATAGGAAAAAACTTATTTTCCAAAAGTAAGAAAAATCCGCAACCATAAATACAACTGATTCTTTTTTAAAATAAACTTATTGATAATCTTCATAATTAAAAGATAAACATTTTTAATAAAAGCTAATTTCAAACAAAAATCGAATTAATATAATTTTTACGAAACAAAAATCGTCGACTTTTAAAATAATTAAATCAAATTTTATGTTAACGTATACCACAAAATGATTTTAGTTTTCGTTTTTTAAATAAACTTTTTTTTTTGTCAAACACTGCTGTAATAACCAAAACCTACAAAAAGCTAGAACATGAAATGAAAAAAAAAATGAAAAGAAAAAGATGAACATCACGTTCATGCCTGCATTTTTCTTGGCGCATTTTCGAAAATTTTCAACGGTCGGTCCATTTCCACCTCTCAAAAAAAAAATTATGGAATAAAAAATTAACAATATCAATATAATAACAATTCCATGAAAAATTTTGGAAACCGCACCTCAAAAGCAGTACATATATATTCTCTTTTGTTTGCCTTCTTCCCATCTCAATAATCTGCCAAAATACCATAATGAGACTCTCATTATGAGAGAGGGTTCAATGTTCAAATCATATATATGCATGCAATACATGTGAACATAGATACCATACATATATACACACGCATGTATCGATCAGAACCGGAATATACTATTATATCCCATATGTATATACGAGATGTGTGTGTATATGTGTAGGCAAGTACCTTCATGTTTCTTCATCAAGCCTCTAGCAAAGAGCAAGCAGATGACTAGAAATCCAACGCCAGCAGCTCCTCCTAGTATTATTGCCACAGTTTTGCCTGTATTCGCCCCTGCCCCTTTTGTTTATTTATTTATTTATTTTATTATTAGTGTTTCAATAATAGAAAAAAAAAAATGATGGAACCAATTAAAAAAAATATCCAATATATTTAAGCTCCCCGTAGAATGTTGTATTCGAATTGACTATAAGATGCGAAGAACATGATTAGTGCGAGACCAAAATGAACCGAGCCACGTATACATATAGAAAGCCACATACGTTTATGAAATTAGAAAAAAGATTCCATTGTTTTATATTTGGAAATAGCTATATGGACTGAACCCACAAAAAAAATAAAATTCAAAAGTGACATTTTATCTTTATAATAAATGAAAAAAAAAACCATTTTAATTTGAAGTTCAGAGGAATAACTGTGAAGTTGTGAGCCAATAAAAGAAAGAAAAAAAAAAGAAGCAGACTTTCAAATCTCCGAAGACGCTCCAAAAACATTAATAAAAAAAAAAATTCGTTTTTATTCCAATTCCGACAACCCAAATCCAAAAAGTCCGAAACTTTAATCGAGAATTGCATTAAAAGAAATCACGGTTTCGATTGGTGGATTCGCAAAACCCAGAAAAACCTCGAGAAACCAACTAAAATTCCGACAGAACCCAGATTCCGATGAACCCAAAACCTCAAAGAAAGAAAAAAAAACTCTGGAAAAAGATTGGTGTCCTCGAAAGATCTCACCTGAAGAAGACGATGGCGAAGAATCCGAAGCCGAAGACGAAGACGAAGATGAAGAAGATCTTCGAGGAACACCATTCGGGTAATAGCTATAAGCGATGAAACACTTGTGCAGATAGATTTGGCCGGAGACTGAGCTTCCACACTCGACCTGAGCTTTCTCGACGGCGTTCTTAACGCAAACGCCGCAATCGGAATCTCCGACATCGCCTTCGCATTGGCCGAGCACGTAGACAGACTCGTAGGTGGTCGCGTAGAAGCCTTCGTGGCTCGACACGACGCCGTTTTGCATGGCCCCGAACGCCGTGTCCCTCCTCTCCTCGAACCCTGTCCCCGCCACGTTGCTCTTACCGCACGTCTTATACAGCATCTCCATTCCTGCCATTGCCAACCAAGATGGTGTTAAACCGGATTTCTCGATTCATTAACCGGTTGGTTAACGGATTAATCCAACCCGGTATATGGGAATCTTACTGCTAACCCGAGTAATCAATCACCCAAAAGACAACCGTTAGCCAAGATACAACCCCGTTTACTCTAAACCATATTCTACTCGGTGACAGAAATCTTAAACCGTATAACCGAGATATGCGATTCGAAGTTCGGTTAAACTAACCGAATCCGAATATTACTAACCGGAAATTTTCTCCTTTGCACCTATGAGTCCACAAAAGCACTTGAAGGTTAGCCACTTACCCCAACAAATTGGTTCAAGCAATAAAATTATCCAAGATTTGGCCCGGTCTAACTGAACCAGATCTACCCAGTAACAGCAATATTGAGAAACTAAGCAAAGTAATTGAATTCCGGTTCGGTATAGCTAAACCAAGGTCGAGCCACTACCAACCCAGGATTTCAAACAGTTGAACACAGAAAATGATACCTGAAATTTGGGCAAAACCAGCAACTTCGTAGAGAAGATAACAGCCAGAGAGCTGAACCCTAGATGCAATGGTTTTGCCGCAGAGCTTCACGGACAGAACAGGAAGTCGACTGACACAGTTGTAGCAGTCATTGTTGCTGAGGTCTCCTCTGCACTGAAACAACCCACTAATGGTGGTTTGGCTGGTTCCAGTGGTGGTTTTGTAAAACCTGGTTTTCGTGGATTGAGACACCAAAGAACCGAACAGGGCAGAGAGGGCTTGGGAGTAGAGACCAGATGGATCTGAGAACTGTTCTCTTGCACAGCCCTTGTAGATTAAGGTTGTGTAGTCAGCTGTTGCAGACTCTGCAACAATGGTGTGCTCAAGATCTGGGAACAGAGCCATGGAGATGATGACGCAGAGGAACAAGATTGAAGGCCTTGTCTTCTGTAAGAAATCCATCTTCCTCCCTCCGTCCTGGACTTCTTGCTCCTTGGGGTGCGTTGAAAGAAAGGCTGGAAATCAAATCATTGCGTTTCTTAGAACGGATTTGGGAAAAGCTGGAGAAACTTTGAAGGGTTTAGGTAGGATTTCTGAGATGGGTAAGTGAGTTGATGGATGCAAAAAGATTGAATCTTTCAGTGGGGTTCTTGGATTTCCCTTTTTTTTTTTTTTCTAAATGTTCTTTTGGTTTTTTTCTGTGATTGGTTGGTTTTTTCTAGGTTTCTGATTTGGTTTTAATGGGAGTTTTTGGATGGTCACTCTTTTTCTTTCTTTCAAAGAGATTAGGAGAGAGAGAGAGAGGGGGGGGAGGGAGAGGGAAGAGCAACTCGCTTTCTGAGAAAGTACAACCTTGTGTGGTCGCTTGTAATGTTATTGATGAAGATTCTCAATAACATTACATTTTGTTATTTAAATGAAATTGTTTCATGTAACGCTAAGAGTTCATGCATGCAAAAACATAATCTTATCACCTGTTTTATTATATTAATAAAACATAGAAAAGGCATTTTTTTTGGTGGTCCTCTCCTCTTATTATGTTAATCATGATTTCCATAATTCAATGGTAAAACTCAACACCGTTCAAATCCCAAATCTTATCCAAGTGATTTACCTCTTCCCTATATTATATATCCTTCCATTTAAGAACACTTACCATCAGGCTATCTGTCACACATGTCAAAACTCAACAAATAGAACACACCAGTTTCATCCCAAAGGTTTACCTATTAACTTTTACCCCAAGCGGGTGAAGGTTAACGTCGATTTCTGCCAATGCAATGCGAGCGATAGAGATCTTACTAGTCTCAGACAAAATACAACGTTTTGAAAGTGTGTTTTTCCAAACTTTCAGTTGGTTGAGACAGAAATTCAGCTCAGCTGCGGAGGTTAAGAAACATATGTTGCTGCTGCTGATGATGATGAATCATGATGATGTAACAACCCGAGACATCGTCCCCCGGGGGAAAAGCCAGACGGGGAGAAACCGCAGAATACACAACAAGTCGAGAGAGTGAATCGGGGGGCGTTTGATTGTAATACCCTAACCTGAGATCATTGGAAGATGATCTTAGTAGTTTGATCATTGGATGATTTCTGCAGACTAAGCTTTTAAGAAAGAGGTGAAATTTCATGAACCTGAAGCAGCAGTAGCATCGGTATTTTCGTCCCCGGGAAGGCCAAATATCCGGAGGTTACGGTCCATCGAACCAACTGCTATGTATTTTGCATCTGGACCGAATTTAACGCAAGTTGCTTTACCTGCAAAGATTATCATAGGCCCGGAATTGAGGGTTTGATCAAAGATAAAGAAAAGAGAGATCAGAAAAAAGAGCGTGAGGAATCAGATGCACATGAAGGGTTTTTACCGGTGCCGGAGAGATCAGGCAAAGTCTTGATGAGGTTCCACTCGGCTTTCACACTGGCTGTTTGGTATACTCTGGAGAAAAAAACAGAGAATTTTTTTATGAGTTGAAAAAGAACTAAAAATCCAAAAAACACATACCCAGTAGAGAACATGATTCATAAGTAGAGATTTTTTATGATGTTAAGGTGGATATTCTTCTCTACTTCTGCAGAATCTCTGGTATCTTGAACAGATGAACTAAGGCCTTTCAGATGATGATATCATGCGTGTATATACATAGAAATGTTCTACACTCACTCACCTTATATCAGATGCAGCAATGCCAAGATAAGATCCACTGTGATCGAACTCCACTGCACCAAAAATCCCGAAAAGAAAAATCAGATATCCAGAAGAAGTAACAAAGTCAACAGAACAAGTAGCATCCTAAGGCTGGAGAAGAAATTGAATCCGATGAAAATTGTATTTGGTAAGTACACACCGGAGTAGGCAGGGAATTCAAATGACCGGAAGTTCTTCAGCTTCCGCAGATCCCACAACCTAACACCATCCTCAGCAGCAGTCTGTCCATTTCAAAAAAGAGAATGGATTCAGATGGATAGAATCTGGTCCAGTTTCCTCCTTTTTTTACATGTTTGATCAAAGTACCCACCGCGAGGAAATAACCATTCTCGGAGAAAGATACAGCAGTAACTGGCCCCGACCCGGAGTGTCCATCAAAGGTAGCCACATTTGCCTATCAACCAAAAAAAACTAACAGTGAAGAAAAGCTTGGTAGACAAGGAGATTACTGGAAATGTTGGTGAACATCAGAGGTGATGGTAAGGAAAACAAGAATTTTACCTGGCTTTTTACATCCCAAATCTTAACGATGGATTGGGAAGTACCAGTTCCCAGAATGAGACCATCAGGATGAAAAGCCGCAGCAGTATAGCCCATGTTTTCGGACCCATCTGAGACCTGAATAACCAAAAGAGATATAGTAACAACTTTCATGCAAGTAAAGAAGTTGGTACCGATCATAATGTGACCTTGGGGAGTTGCTCACTGTGTTTCTATAAAGCTTTTCACATTAGCAAACAAAATGGAAAAGCCAAAATGAATAACAGATAATAATAGTTGCTCAGGTGATGGAAAAGGTTGAGACCTGGGCAAGGCATAAACCGGAGGTCAGATCGTAGAAGCACCATGTATTGTCAAGCGATGCAGAGACGAAGTATTTATTTGTGGCATGGACAGTAACAGCTTGCACCTGAAAAATGAATAAAATGCTTGAAGATTAAAGTCCCTAAAGAAGAAACAAACAGATATGACCTAAAAGACTAATTCGAAGGATGTAAAATCCTCTAATTTCATCTTTACCTCTGCAGAATGTTCCTTCAAGGTGTGCCTACAGTCATAGGTTCCATCCTCAGAACCTCTCCACACACGGACAGTCTGCATAGTGTCAGAATACACTGAACCTATCACTTCACTGTGCCAACTAATTTGCAGCTTTAGTATAAAGATACTTGTCAAAACACATTTAATTGGACACATTTGAAAGGTGTGATTAATTGAGCAGAGTGCCAAACATAATAGAATGAGGCTACAAAAGATGTATGGTATTAGTAACACAAAGATACATATAGCATTCTAGGCAAAGAATCGGATTTTTCGATTATAACACTTTGAGATGCACTCCCTCAGTTTCATATTACTTGATATTTCAGAACATTTGTTTTTTTTTCATAGAATATAAGTTCATTGTTTCACTATGCAAAATTATTATTATTTTTCCAAATTAAACTCCACTAATTTACATCAACAGTTATAATAGAAAACTAGATTTCATAGGAGCCATGTCAGCAGTGGGAGACTATAGCAAGCTCAAAGCAAACCGCTGTTAAAGGGGAAACTTAAAAAATCATGCTTAAGATACACAAGTTATATATCTGTTCTTACGCAACAAATCAAAGCAATATAGTGTTCCTAGCCAGACCAGGTACAAACATCAAGTAGAGAACTCTGAAATCATTTTGGGTCTTTAAATGAATCGAGACTTACCTTATCGGCTGAAGCAGTCAAAACTAGATCAGTGTCAGCAACAAATTTAACACTTGTGACCTACAAAAGGAACAATGCATATCAAACACAAACTAGAATAGAAAATTTTATTAAAAAAAGGTAAAGCTTTAAAACCTTCTTTGAGTGACCACTCAGTGTAGACAAGATTTGTCCGGAAGGGCGATCAAAGAGAACAGCAGTAGTATCAACTCCTCCAGTAGCAATGATGTCCTGGTCACAAATTAAAGTAACAGTACGTGGGCAAGCTTTGGAAAAAAATAGTAGACCTAGTTAACATTTTAGAAATACAATGGATAGCTGAATTGCACAAGAGCTAGCATTCATTGCATGCAAAAAGCTGTGGATAACACACATATCAGTGCAGGGTCATAATATATTCTTTAGCCTTACAGAATTCTATTCTAGAAAACAAAACACTAAGAAGATTAGCACCCAAATCAGTATCCAAATAATGGAAGGAGTACAGGTGGGCATGTCAATAAAATAACAGTGATCAATAGTGAAAGAGAACTTCAGAATGAGAAACCTTGGAATAGAGAATGTCCATTGAAATAATGCCAGGCTTGTTGGTCTTGTGAAGTGGGTGACTTGAGAGCTGTGTGAACCTCTCCAAATCATCAAGTGTCGCTAATGTTTGAGGAATCTATAGAAGGATGAGAAAGAATCAGACAGAGGAAACTAAAACAAATGTGTGAAAAAAAAAACACAAAATCCAAGAATACAACTCTCAGTTGACGAACAAGGACATACCAAAATCTAGAAGCACAAAAAAACAGACTCCACAAATACAGTTGATTGGAACAAACAAGAAACCACATAGACAGATATTCTTTCTTTCTTTCTAGTTTCAAGCACGATCTAGATACATGCAAAGCTATATGCAATACCTGTCGTTTTTTACGTTGCTGAGAAAGAGCCGCATTACAATCCGTTAGTTCGGTGATAATTTCAGCTGAAATTCCCGGACGCATTCTCTTCCCATCAGGCAATTCTTCGCCATCAGAGGCTAACATACAAGAATAAAACACAGTAAAAACCTAGAAGAAGAAAAAAATATAGCTCACATATTCTGATAAGTAAATGCACAAGCATACCCCGTTTCCCGTTAGTAAGAGCAGCGTTAGCAGTGATAGCTTGTTGTGCTGCAGGTATCTGCCTCTCAGCCTCTGCAAGCAATGCCCGTGATTCATCCCTTTCTTTTTTAAGCCTAGCAATCACACGACAAGCAGCATCATGCTGCAATAGAACGCAAATGCAACCCATAAATCAACCAAAAAGACCACAATCCAAAAACTAAAAATATACTTGTATCGACAACACAAAATGGTCAAGGAAAGGAAAACTAGAGCGTATATTAGATATCCATTAAGTGTGTCTCCAGAAGTAGTAGCACATACAATTGATAAAAATTACCTGATACAAAGCATGACTTAGCTCTTGCCTCGCAGCATGTAGCTGTTGCTCTAGTGCAAAATTTGATAGCATCAAACTGTCCCATTCCTACAAAAGGAAATTTTTTCAAGGAGTTTACTTTGCCTATGTTAATGTAGTTTACAAGTGGTCAGTTTTACGACCAGGCAGCCGGAGGACAAACTGTGCTAAACAATAGATGAATATCTACTCAATCATCCAAACGTACAAACCCAGAATAAAGTAAAAAATTCTCAGAACCATGATCGAACTCAACATGCTGACAATACAATACAATATGAAGGAAATTCTCTGAGTGAACCATCCGGGAAGAAAAATGAACACAAACTCAAATGGGAAAAGGATTGGAAAATAGCACAACATTTACAAACTTACATTTTGGAACATTCCTAGTAATCCAGGGATGCTAGCTGTGTGCAATGGCTTAGGTTTAACAACCTGCAAGAAACAATCCCAGAAATGGAACTAGTTTACAAAATCTCTTCTTACATGTTCGGACAAAAATAAAACCAGCAGTTGCATAGCATACCTTCCCAGTTTTGATGGGAACAATGTCATCCATGGTAAGTGGTTCACCTGTAACAGGGCACTTCCCATACTCCTACAGTGAACATAATACTTAAAATTTTACTGCAAGGTGTATTTATAATCTAAAGGGAACTCCTACAAGACTTATTTTTGACAAATGTGTAAATCTGTAAACCTAAGTTACAGTACCAACCATTTGCACCCAGAGAGAATCAAAGCTTAAGACGGCAAATAACTGTATCAAATGCATCACTGAAATTTGTATTTCGAACGCTTATATCAAAGTTATCTGAAGCAGAATAGCCCACCGCACATAGAAAGACGATAAATTTTATGGGTGAAAAGCCCAAAGACACCAGAATGTATAAATCTTGATAACCCTAGACTCATGGAGTAACTGAGAGCTTACCGATATGTGGCTTTCGATTAATCGCCTCTCGAAGAGCAAACCCGACTTCGTTGACACCACCGGTTCCTCCGGTACTTCTCCGGAAACTGTACGGGAAAAACGATCACAGTGGCGCCATTACAAATTCAACAAGAAAACAGAAAACCCAAACTCGCCGATGGCGATACAGAACAAGGCGAAGAGGGAAGCTTTACTTGCACAGTTCATCGTAGGACGATAGCGAGGAATAAGCAGGAGCAGCGAATGGGCAGAACAAGAAGTTCCCTTCACAAGCAGAGCTAGGGTTTGTCTCCTCCGTTCTTGAGGAAAGTATACTGCAAAATCGTAGAAGCCGGAGAGAGGGAGAGAGCGAGCGAGGGACGCGAAGAAATGATAATTTTAATGCGAATTACTGAATTAGGGATATTTTCTCCGCTGAAAATTAGGGTTCATGGGCTTTTCCTTTGGGCCCAACCCATTTATTAGATATGAGTTTGGGTTTTTTAATGAAAATGGCCCATCCAGTTTTGAAATATATTTTTTTTCTCTAACCATTTCTAAATTAACCTAATTTCTTTATATCTAATTAGGAGATTGAATGTAACGTTTACAAAGCTGGCTTGGAATACATTGATAACAGCGTCATTTGGCAATTTAAACAAATGGTTTCTCTTCCATTTCTCTTGGGAAATTCCATATAAGTTTATAAATAAAAAAGGAAATAAAAAATTGGAAAATAATTAAAACCCAAAATAAAATTGCAATAAAATGCATGATACAGTAATAAGATAAAGAAAATAGAAAATGGCTTCCAGGGATATAGGGCTTAATTTAGGACAACTCTCTCAACAACTCAGTTGCGGTCGAACACAGTCTCCCCACGGTGGGACCGCGTCGCCACATCGAAATATTCCACTGGTTCCCACGTCATGGGAAGAGGAATCTCCAGGCCCGCCACTATTGTCGGAAAACGCCACGCTGGCGTCTCTTAATGCTCATGCATGTCCTTGCAATACATATACGTATATATATACTCGGACATACGCGCAACAGTTTATACATCCGTATACGTTGCAATCAAAATTATAAGTTGTTTGAACTTTCAAAACCTCCATTTTATCAGACGAAACTGTAAGAATTGTTCTTCGTCTTTTGCCGAAATAAATCTATATCCTTTTGACTTTATTTTTTCCTGCGATATCTCATGATTGTTTTCGATGAAATTTTTTGTTCAGACACCGGTATTACTCCACCCGGATTCGAACGAAGCATCGAGCAGAATCGTTCATTTTCTGTTTTCTGGGGAAAATTTTCCTCCATTTTCCCGGAAAATTATTGCATTGTGCTAAGAACAAGACAGATTGCAGGAGATGGTTTCGTCTCAAGACCAGCTCTCAATCGTAAATCTCGAATCTCTTTCGCCCCATTGATCGAGTTTCTTCTTTATCTCTCGAGTTATATATTTTGCATGCGTCATATATATATTTTTCTTCAAAGAATGTTTTCATCCAGTACTCGTATTTTTATTCATTTATATGATTTTCAAAATCCTTTTCGTACTTCCTTAAGATGTATAATCAGAATCTTAAGGAATATATATATATATATATATATATATATATATATATATATATCACATAACTAGAGCTAAACCCTAAACCCTAAAACGTTCCATTTATAGAACTCCACTCTTTAGGTTTCCAGCTCTGCTTGCTTGTGTTGTTTCTTGGGTTACATGTCACATGAAACCACACATGCATTGTCTCTCTTGCCCAACACCCATTATTGCCTTTAAAACCTAAATCAAAAGACAATTCGATCCAAGAAAAGAAGATCTGATGTGTTCCATATCGAAGACAGTATATTATATATATCGTATCCTATAGATGATTAATTCTATCTATAAATATGCAGAGTTTGAAACCGCTGTCTTAAAACAAATCTAAACAGTATCACGAGTTCCAGTTTCTTGTATCGCAAGTAAACCCTAGTTTAGTTTGATGCTAATCGTCGTTAACTTCTGTCTCCAAGATCTTTGATGGTTTTTTTTTTGTTGCATACAGGATCAGATCACTAGCCCTCTCAGCTGTGGGATCTTTGATTTATTCGATCCACAAGTGTTTCATGAATCGTTCCAAGTTTCTGAAGTGAAATCCGTGTCGAAAAATTCGGATTACGACCAGAACTGGCTGTTCTCTTACAACAACGTCAATATGTTACAGCAATCAGCGAGCTTCAACGGAAACGACGGCTCAAACACAACAACGCCGGGGGGAAACGATAACAATAACGCGGATCTATCAATCATATTGGATTTGCAAGAAGATCTCGACAGCGACATCGATCTCTCCTCTTTTCTGCAGTTCCCAGTGTCCGATCATCTCATCAGGGCTTCATGCCAAGAACAGCTAGATTTCTTCACGGGTTCAGTCCAACAGGCTCTGAACAACATTCTCTACTCTCCCACTGGAGATCCTCTGGCTCTGGCAGCGGCTTCTTCCTCGGCGCCACCGCCGTCCCAATCAGCGGGTTTTGAGGAAGATTGTGTTTCTTCGGTCGCAAGTTACAATGTTGGGCTTAACCCTTCTGCCCCATCTTGCTCTTTCTCTGGCATGCCCCCGTATCTGCCCAGTTTATCCTCGGAAAGTTCTGAACTTTTCTCGAGGATTTTTCACCTGCAGCCTCATGATCCATTGATGGATTATCGGTCCGACAATGGTGGTATTTCGCCCCTCGATTCGATCAAACACATCTTCAATCCCCGAGATCTTCAGGTAAATCGATATTCCAGCTTTTCCCTATATAATTTCGAGAATTTCTCGATCTGAAACCATGTTTTTTTCCTTCATTTGTTTAGATGTCAACGTTTGATAAACCGGCTAAACCGAGTAACGAATTTCCCGGTTTGGGAAGTGGACCGCCATTCGCGACGGAGATAAGCGGTTTGGACGATTCGATGTTCAACAAAGTCGAAAAACTCTCCGTCGAGCAGAGGAAAGAGAAGATCCATAGGTACATGAAGAAGAGGAGCGAGAGGAACTTCAGCAAGAAAATCAAGGTTAACCCTTTTATCTCTTTAAACCATCGTACTACTGTACCAATCGGTTTAGCAATGGCATAACCGAACCGAACCGGAATCACAAAAACATCGATCGGTTTAGTTCAACTCTGATATTTACTTTTTTTGGGATTGAAGTATGCGTGTCGGAAGACATTGGCGGATAGTCGTCCAAGAGTACGGGGAAGATTTGCTAAAAACGACGAACGACGGGAAATCCGTCGACAAGCTTCTTCAAGCGACGATGATGACGTAAGCTTGACGGCATCATTAAAAAATTATTTTATTTTTTTATTTTTTTACTTATTGTTGCAATATTCAGTGAAAAAAATATATTTTAATATTATGGTAAATTTTGGGATGGAACGCAGGTGGGAGTGAAGGAAGTGGAAAATAAGATTGTGGATTCTTCAGACACATTCTCACACATGAATTGTCTGAATTCCTTCAACTGCAACCACCCTATCCAATTTTGGACCTAATTAACCCAAAAATAAAGTCATATTATATATATGCACAAATATACACAAATAAATAGCATAATTAGAGTTATATACATAGAAAATGAAAAAATGTGTGTATATATATATGATGGTTTTGTATTTCTTGGGTGTTGTAGTAATAATAAATCATTTTGAACATTATATTATATATATATATATATATAACTTATTTTGTATTCATGGGCTTTATATGAATTAAATGAACAAATTTTGGATTATGGACCTAGTATTTTTCGTCCCAATATCATTGACTCGAAAATACCACGTTATATTTCTGTCCAACATTTTTGTTTCGTATAACATCATTTAGAATATGTTTGAACGACGATCACTCTTAATTTAAATCATTGATTTATAAAATTGTTATACGGATCAAAACTATTTTATTAAACACAATAATTCTATATTTCGTTCAATGCAATTGCTATAATAATATGTTTCACCCGTTAAATTTGTGCAACGTAATGTTTTTTAGCAGTGTTTTTTATTTCATAATTTTTTTATATATTGCCATCTTCCACTCTTATTAGTACACTTAATATTCATCGTTTCTGAAATATTCTAAAATTATAATTTTATTAAATTTAATATTAGTAATTGATAGACGTTTGGATTACAAATCATGTTATTTTCCAACGAGTGGTTGGAAGGATATATTATATTTGAAACTGTTATTTTCTTTTGTTGAAAACATATGTGTTTGAAATTCATTGAATCTCATAACCATAGCCGAAATGGGTTGACTTTTTAGGCCAATTTAGGGTAACTTTCCGAATGTCATAATCATATTTTAATATAATATATAGTTATATATACTTTTCAAAGGCATATACATACCAGAAAAAAAAACTGTGCCCTTTGAAAAAAATATACATCCTCTTTATAGTTTTGAATTAATAAATTCACATTTCTTTTTTATTTTTGTTTAGCTGTTTCTATGTTTTGAATTTTTTTGCTGACCAAGTTCAAATAAAAATTTTATATTCAACGATTTTATATTAATAAGTGTAATGATTTGATCATGGATGTTTTTTTTTTTTGGATAACATTGGGGAATTCCCGTGACTATATTCCCTTACAAACAGAGATGAATTGGCCACCACCCGCGTCTAACGGTCCACCGCAGACCTGACCACCAGACGCACCTAACGCTCGGACCGTAGTTGGGCTTAGGCGGCTGCGGGTCAAACTTGATCATGCATGTTTATATGATCTTTAACTAGTTTTAGCTTGGTCGTATTCTAATATGACTAGATTTCACTAAATTTAATATTCTTATTTTTCTAAAATTATAAAAGTTTTATACATATTATTTCAATAAATTTTATTTTTTTATACAAGACAAAAGTTACTAACTACGAACCTCACAACTAAACCGGTCATATCACATGCAATGCAAGCCAAAAAAAATTAGGGTTTATACTGTTTTTGACAATAAAAAGACAGAGACCGGATTACGTGGCGAATCTCTGATTATCCAAATAAATTTTGTTATTGCGGCAGCTGAATTAAAGTTATGCCACGCGTTATTTTTATCAGGGAAATTTTTTTTTAAAAAACCCTACTTGTATTATTTTCTTTATGTGAATAATTGGACTTACCAACTTCGAGAAGAATATTGTAAAGTCTCTGGTGGTTGATAGATAATATTCTAATTTCATATTCAAACATTCAAACTTTCATACAAGCACTCTAATGATTTATTTGAAATTACCTTAATTTATCCAAAAAGACAGACACAATATTTTATAAGAATTTGTTTTTAAATTAGAGTATTTAGGGCTTCTAGGTGTTAGAATGTGTGTACTTGACCAATCCCCTACGGCACGTCAAATTTTTTCTTAATTTTAATTTCAAAGTGCAAATATACATTATGGACATTACCAAGAATGACAACAAATTATTGATATTCGCATTATCAAATACATGTATTTATACACACATATATATATATATATATGCACACACACATTTATGTGAGTGCATGTGTACATACATATGCACTCTAAAGGTTCCAGTATATATTCGTATTTAATAGGAAAATAAAATATAGGATATATATAACACTCAAATTTCTGCATTAGGATCTCTAGTTACAGTCTAAGAAATACCTTTTCTCATGGGGATTTTAATTTTATTATGTGTAATAAGATTCTAGGAATCCATTAATTAATTGATTTAATTGCTAAAAAGGGTAAATATAATATAAGTGGATATATATATAGAGCCGCATTAGTTAATGTCCGCCCTCTCTTCCCTCCATTTTCGCCGATAGTGGCCCTTTCTCTCTCTCTCACTAGACATTGTGGTTAACAGCTCATTTGCCTCATCTCCATGGCTTATTAGCCCACAAAATTTACGAAACCCTAAATTAGAGATTTGCCCCACGAGTGGGGCCTACATAGATAGAGGGGAAACAGAGGAGAAAACGTCCTTATTTGTGGATGCTGCTAATGGAGGAAAGAAAAAATGGTGCCTTTCCTTTTATTTCTCCACAGACATTATCGTGGCTTACAACCCCCATTCTCTGATTCTCTCTGTCACTGTCTTCTCAACTCTCTCTCTCTTAACCACCAACATTTTTTTCTCTCTCTAGAAACCCAGGAGTCTTGCTTCCTAGGTTCGCCCACTTTTTCCTCACTCGGTTCGAGATTCGTTGGGAAAAGGGAAAATCTTCCGCTTGAATTTCGGTCAGAGAAGAAAACGAGAGCGAACCAGGAGTGGGTAATTGTTGAAATCATTGAAAATTCAGTATTTGTTTATGTTTCACTTGTTCTTGCGATCGTTCTGTTGTTTATTGGGGCCTTTTCAGTGGATCAATTTCTGGTCTTTTTCCCTCCTAAACATCGGGTTTCAAGCCCGAACCTCAAAATCTTATTTTTCTGTGTTTTGAACCCGATTCTGATTCTGTTCTAGCAAAAAGAAATCGGCTTTCGTGTTTGTTGCCGGCGAGGCTGAGAAAGTTTTCGACTTCCAGTTCAATTCTGGGTTAATTTTCTTTCTTCGATTCCTCGTATGTCTGGTTTTTTGTTCCATTTAATGAACTGGGTAGCCGTAGATTCCATATTTCGAGCCGAAGAACCCATCAGAATTTCAGCTTAACTAGTGGGCGTCTCTAAAGACTCGAGCTTTTTTAGCAAATTAACTTTGTCGCTTAGGTCTCGTGTTTGGATTTTGGTCGGAACTGTAGATTCAGATGACTTTTTGATGGGTTCAAGCCTCTGTTTTATTACCTGCATTTAGAGTTCGGGTTGTTCTGATATGCGATTCTTCATTTGCCATTCAGATATTTTGTGTTGCCGGTTTGAAGGAGAGTTCTTGGATTGATCTGGAAGAGTTTTTCTGCATCCAAACTTATATTCCGCAATTGGAGATCACATGATGAGAATCTGAATTGATCGGTGTTGGTTTTGAGTTAGCGAGCGAACAACAACAAATGGGGAATGATACTTCTGACACTCAAAAGGATGATCCTGAGCAGGTAGATACGCTTCTGAAGTTCAGCAATGGCGAGAATCTGTCTGGTAAAGATGGCTTATTGAAGTCGCACAACTCCTCGAGCCAGAAAAATCCCGTCTCGAATGACGGAATGTGGTTGCAGATTGTGAAAGATGATCACAAAGGCTCGTTCCTCCGAGGGAATCGTCCTGTAAATAGCAAGATCCCGAGGCATATAGTGTCACTAGACGAGAAGTATCTCCGTCGCTGCCTTGAACTGATACATATCAGTGCTGTGAAGTCTACCCGTTGCAGCTTCTCTGTAAACCTTGCGGGGGCTGTAATGACGGGAATTTCATCGTATCCCTTTGGATCACCCGTGATCCTGAGGGAAAACGCTCCTGATGTTCCACAGTTTGTGCTTGAGCTCCCGTCATTGGCTGGTGGCTCGTGTGGCACAGTCATCGTCCCCACAGTTGTAGCTTACGAAGGCATTATGCATATGATTGATAAGCCTTTGTTACACACATTGGGAGCGATGGGCACGGGAAAGGGGAATGATGACATAAAAGGGTTGGTCTCCGGTGAAGTTGCTAGATCTCCCCATTGGCATCTGATGAATTCGGGGGAAAAGGGTATGGCGGGTTCCCAAGCTCGGGATTATCGATCTGAAGACAGATGTAAGAGGGTTGTTTCGGTATCGAGTTCAGACTCGACGTGTTTTTCTTCCGAGTTTTCATCCTCATCCGCATCTGCAACTGTTTCTCGGGGAACCCTCCAGTTCACTATGAATTCCAACGGTTTGCCTCATTTCATTTTCTCGTTGGATGATCGAAAAGAGAGATTCATAGCCAGCTTGAGTAACGCTGAATCGGGTGCATTAGAACAAGAATACTTGATCTATATGCGGAGAGGCAACAACAACGAGTCGCATCTGGTTGGTAAAATAAAGGTGTCGACTTTATTCTCTGTTCCATCGTCATCACCGAATTACCGAATCATGGAGAGGGAGTTTGTTCTCTTCAGCGACTGTCGGTATTCGCATACACAGTGTCCCGATACGAGGAAGAACAGAGGGTTGTTGCCCAAGAAAGTCGTTGATGCATTCAAAAACACCCGAGCCTCCAGGCAAAGAAGCATCTCGAGATTCAGCAGAGCAAGCTCCATACCAGATTTCTGTTCTTTTCAAGAACCAAACTACGATCTTGAGCCTGTAAATCTCCTGGAAAACGATCTTCCACCGAATCTTGAATCATTGGCTATCGTTGTGAAAGAACAGATCCCCGAGGAACAACCGGAAGAAATACTCGGAGGCTGGGGCATGAAGTTCCTCAAGAAGCAAACCTCATTGCCCCAAACTGGCAGCGACGCTTCTGAAAGTTCGAAACTTTCAACAAGTGTAGTTGTCATAATTCCTTCCGGGATTCACGGCGGGCCAAGAAAGAGGGACGGTGGGCCTTCGGGATTGATCCAGAGGTGGAAATCCGGGGGAATCTGCGACTGCGGTGGATGGGACTTGGGTTGTCCGTTAACAATTCTCAACGGCCAACCACGAAAAGATCAAACCGAAGGCCAATGCAATCTCTTCGAGTTGTTCACAGAGGTACCTTCTTAATCTTAAAGGTGGAGACTCTCATATTGGAATATGCAGAAACATTGATCATAAAGATGGAAACTTTCATGAACATTTTCTCAAGTATCAAACCCTATAACTGTAAAAACAAAAATATCGAAAAAAAAAACTCATTTCTTGTGTGCTCATGTACCGGATTATCAGAGAACGAAGCCCGGGACGGAAGGATTAAAGATCGTAAACGTTCACGACGGGCTCTATTTCGTTCAACTCCAACCGGAGATATCGGTTTTGCAATCTTTTTCCATTGCTGTTGCATATATCCATAGCCAGAACCAGAGGCTCAGGCCACCTCCGCCAGGCCGGAAAATGTACAGAAGCTTTGAGTTGAGTTAGCAGAAGAGGATTTCAGAAGCAGAAAGATGGGTAAACTTCGGATACGTAGTGGTAGGCTGGTAGCTGGTGACTTCTTGATTTATTATAGCCTTTTTTTTAATTTGGTAAAGATTGATACATACATTAGTCAGTCTTACTTTGATTTTATGGTTTTGAGTTTGGTTTTAGTTTTACATGGATTTTATTGATCTATTCGGTGATGCAAAAATGCGCATTATATCATTGGATTTCGTGATTTGGGGCATATATTGTCACCTCGATGTAGGATTGAAGATTGCAATAATTACCATGCAAAATCTGAGGTTCAAAACATGAACAGTCCTACCCCAAAAAATAAAAAATCTGAGGTTTTCACAGAGAAGAGAGAGCTCGATTTCGGCGAAAGAGACAGACGTTAAACCGTTAAACGATAGCATTGGCAGCGCTAGCGATCCTCGGCCAGAGATCGGCACATTCCTTTCCGATGGGTCCAGTGATGGCGGAACCTGTCGGCACAAGTTGCACAGCGGATTGAGAACAAGAAACCGAGAACTGTGGTTTCAAGAGTTGATGTAATAATAATGCCAATATATGATGATGACATTGACATTGAATGAAGAGTTTTTGTAAGATATATGACAAAAACAACGGCATGTGGATGATGACGACGACTTATGTAAATGCCAAGATTTGATGATAGTAAGTAAGATACTGATTCATAGAATAGAATGTACCTTTCATTTCTCCCTTGGGGTTCACGATGACTCCGGCGTTATCTGCAGTGGAGAAAAAACACGATAAGAAATCAGTGCTCATCCTTTCGGAGAAAGTTTGGCACTATGCAGAGGCGGATCACACAAGTAGATGGGAAAACAAGATAGCTGACACATTGATAAAAAATCTGAGAAAGAATTCGGCGTCCTGATGGAGAAAAAACGCAAGCATTTGAGCATAACAACATCTGCAACGACGGGCACGGAAAATTTCTTGGGCTTGCAAGTGTTCTAAACCATTTGGGTACCTGACTTTACTCTGTGTGCTCATATCAAAAACTCAAACCACAAAGTTCACGGAACAATACCATAAACGCAAGCATTTGAGCATTACAACGTCTGTGATAATGGGCACGGAGATTTTCCTGGGCTTGTAAGTGATACAAACCATTTGATTATCCCGGCGGATACATCACTTAGCTATGTGTGATCATATCGAAAGCTCAAACCACACAATTCACAGAACAATACCATAAAAGTCATGTATAGAGAGGGAGGAAGGAAATGACCTTCGAAGTACATGTAAACACCGTCCTTTCTGCGCCATGGCTTGCGCTGCCTAACGATGACAGCCGGGAGAACCTTCTTCCTCAGGTCGGGCTTGCCTTTCTTGACAGTGGCCATCACCATGTCACCGACACAAGCCGAGGGCAACCGGTTCAGACGGCCCTTGATCCCCTTTACCGAGATTATGTATAGGTTCTTCGCACCGGTGTTATCGGCACAGTTCACAGTGGCTGCAACGGGCAGACCCAAGGACATCCTGAACTTGTTTCCCGATGTACCTCCACGTCCTGGTCGAATCCCGAATCAAAAACCATTAGCGCAATGTTTTCCTAAAAACGTCCTGGTTTCGACCATGATTCAATTGCACAAACAATCGGATTTCACTAGTGTCCTAATAGACCAGGTTTCGGTCCCAAGGACATCACTTTAGATAACTTCACATTGTCACGGACTACGTATAACCGATGACTTAGATAATTTGGCATCCCGAAAAGATAATATTCCATAGATTTCAGATCTAACAGACACGGAAACCTCAAACCTGAATTTGTTAAGTTTTCTCGGGAACCAAACAGAAACCAAGATGACACAATAATCAAAATCGACGAAAATAACGCAAGAGACATGAAGAATGTGAATGTAAAACGCGATTAAACGCGTACCTCGCTTCGACATTTTGGACGGACTGAGAGAAAATCAGGAGGAAAGTTCTACGATTTCCGACCTATGTTCGTAAGACGCGGCTTCTAGGGTTTATCAGTTCGTCCATTGAGTTTAAGCCCAAACCCGCAACATAAGACACAACAATACGGCCCATGAAAAGCCCATAAATATTATTCAAACTACGGTACCATTTAAACCGGGCTTAACCAAAATAACCGCGCCAAAACCGGTCTTAACCAAAATAATCCAAATTCCATCACTCAAAGTATCTTCGGAAATACAGTATTCTCTATTTCGGATTCATTTGTAGAAAACATAAGACAGTCACATATGTGGTATGGAAATGAAGCCAAATAACTTCCTCCGGTTTGGTCCGGTAGATTTTGTCAATCACAAGCTTAAACCGGTGGATCAAACTTCGAAACAATGGGAACTAAGAATGTGTATATATATACACACAAACAGTGCAGCGTACATGCATGCGTACAATACAAAATCTACAAAGTTACCGAACACGAAACGCTCCTTCGGTCGGTTACATGGTTTGTATATTATAAGATCAGTCCAATTTTATGTATGAACCGGAGGAGTTTGATGTAAAATTGGGGAAAGATATGGACCGTCGGTGAAATAGAAGCCGAAATCGGGCACAACCGTTGATTTTGATATGGAATTTGCTTCTCTTGACTCTTGTTGTCATTTCCTTGCATCTCTGTTTCACCATCTTGGCTCTCGGTATCTTTCCGAGTCGCTTCACGTATTTGCATCTTCTGTTTTCTAAACAAAACAATAAAAAAATACGTATAATTAAGATGCAAATACGGTTTGGAAACTTGGAGAAAGATACGTATTTTTGGTATGCTTACACTCAAAAACATATGAAAAAAAAACTAATTATTTGAGTCAGTGTAAGCATTTCGACCGCTGCATTTTTCAACAACATTATATATATATATATATATATATATTTGTATGGTATAGAACCTTTTAAAATTTTATGAAAAATCGATATTTAAATTAAGGAAAACTGAAACTATGACAGAAAAAAAAATTGTCGTTACCCTTTGGCTCATCGTCTTCTAGCGTTGTGTTATTTAAGACCTGCACAATTGGAATTTAATATATATATATAAGTTCAATAAATGCGCTCATGAGAATCCCACTTGGATTTTTTTTTACGTTAGCATTTGTACCTCGACCAAGCTCTCCATTCTCTTTCTCATCCTTCTCTGAATGAACCCTCTCGAACACTATATATGACAGGGCAAACGAAATTACTATAAATGAAAAATAAAATACCAAGGCATTTTTTTAAAAATTTGAAAATGTATGAATGAGAGAGTAGTGGTTTGACCTTTATGTGGTACTTAACATATGCATAGAAGTTCAATAAGTTCCATACTGTATTGTCTAATCTCTTTCCCCCCTCGATGTGCCGTGAAGTTATATCTAATAATAATAATAATAATAATAATAATAATAATAATAATAATAATAATAATAATAAAGAAAGTATTACCAAAAGAGACGAAGCCAGCATTAGTGGACAAGTCATGGAGAGGTTCTCCTGTGAGTTCCGGAGGAGGGATTGGTGACCAATTGCACTGCGGCGCCTTTCCCATCTCCTTTTGGTTTCCCACTTCCACAAGTTCCTATTTTCCATTATCCCCAATTTGTTTTAAAAATAAAATATATTTGCATGGTTGGTTTTATATATATATATATACATATATGTGTGTGTGTGTATATGATGCATGGTACCTGGAAGAATGACGTGGCAATGACCACGTCCGTGTGGTCTTTGAAACGCATAGGAAATACGGCGGTAATTTCGTGAGGCTGACTCACAAAAACAAATCTCTCCAATTCAATCACGGTATTTGGGTTTAATCCGGTTAAGCCCGGTTTAGTTTCATAATTCGAAGAAGTAATTGGTTGAGACGGATTAATTAGAGGTAAATTTTACCTTTTTGAAGACGTAGAAAGGTTCTGTGGTGCGATAAACAATCTTGATGGGTTTATTCATCATTTGGACACTCGCGTTTCTCAACATCATTTTCATTTGGCAGCTCAATATTATCGCTTGCATTTCCGACATTTTTGTAATTATTTTCAACGCTCCTGATTATTAAAAACAGTAATCTAAGAAAATGAAAAATATATACAAACACCAATGTGTATACATATATATACATATATATATTACCTTTGCCACGTGGCATCTGGTCAAAGTGAAGCCTCAGAGTAAGTTGAAACCCTAATTCCGGCGGTTCGACAATGTCGATCACACCCATTGCGATTCCCTTTATCACCTCGTACGTCTCAGTCGACGTCTCCTCGCACGTTGTTGCCGTTCCTTGTGCGTCGAGTGAGGTCGATGTCGACAAATATACCGTTTTCGGATCCGATACCGAACACTGTCGAAACCCGGTTTTATCATATGGATTGTATTGTGAAATTTTCAAAAGAAAAGGATTAAAAAAATGTTACCTTGATGTGATATTGGATCGAACCGAATTCATAGAAATGTTGATCAATCTCGAGAGGTTTTTCAGCGCTGATGAGAAGTTTACATATGTGACAGTGTAAAAACCATATATATAGTCAGAAACCATAAACCGGGTTCAGGGACCGGGGAACCAATCAAGATCCGGTTTGTACCAAATCGGAGATAACTATTTCACCACTAAACCAAAAAATAACCAGGAGTCGGACCGGTTAAGAAAGGCTTACCGGTGTATCTTGAGTAGTGTCTCCTTCAGCATGGGAGATGCTCTTTGAAGATAGCCCATCTCCCTGACAGTTGATCGCGAACGTCTCAAGACATGTACATAAATTTACGAACATCCATATATATATATATATACATGTATCTATATATATATATATATGTATGACTCGAGCTTGGGAATATATATATAAAAGCATATGTATGTGTATGGACGTGTGTCCGTGCGTGTAGGTGAATGGAGATTGAGTAAAATGCAAGTCCTGAAGTTGCAATCATTTTTCCTGGTTTTTAAGCAAACAGTCTTTTTCAATGTTGGTACGTCAAAAATTTCTCCATGATAAGAAAATATGCGTAAACGTTAAACTTATACGAAAATATTTAAAAGTTTATGTATATATATATATATAATACTATCGTTTATACTCAATAATATTTTTATTTTTCAAAAAAAATTATATGTATATATGTTATTGCTAATAAAAACACACGATATCATATAACAGATCTTAGTAAATATTCTTCTGGTGATAAATAATATATCAAAATTTACGAATATATATATATATATTATAATACTTGGAATGTAATACAAGGTTTCTATGGAACAAACAAAACTATCATGAGATAAATAAAAGCACATGTTTTTCTTTCGATACATTGACAATTTCCCTTCGCTTTTCATTTGGCTTAGTGTATAATTAAAACATATTTGTTGCTGACTATTTCACAAACCAAAGGAAATGGACTTCAAGTATGTCCATTTTTTTTACAAATGGAAAATCTAAATTAAAAAGACCTCAATTTAATTTCCGGATAATAGGATATCTGAACTTATAATTTGAATCCTCTTTCATATTTGTACAAAGAAGATCATATGATTAATAATATTTGGGAATTTGACATGATGACCTCTAATTTATAACTTCATACCAATCTCACGTGGATTTCCATGAACTGATGTATATTATATAAAAAACATAAAATTTTAAACAATTTTTATTTTTTATCGCATATATTTATTCAGAAAACCGGTGATAAAAAAATCTAAAAATATAAATGAATCAGCCACATGATAAGTGATTACGAAATTTTTATTTATACGGGTAACAACTTAACCCAAAAAATACGAATTTGAGCAGAATATATAATTTCAAAAGGTGTCAGAAACAGTATTTGTAAGAATATAAAATTGGAATTAAATTTAATTTAATTTGAGTCAAGGGGAATGTGTTGCGCCACGCTGGCACCGACGGACTATAACGAGATTAACTACCGTGTGCGCCAAAACAGATCCATACGATCTACATGCTTCCCACATTAAATCCTGACCGTTGATCGCATCACTAATTTTCTTTCACTTTCTCAGCAATCAATCACCCGTCCGAAACGCGTCTCTCCGATTTTCTTCCTTTTTCTCGTCATCCAATCAGAAAATCGCCCAACTTTGGTGGTTTGGATCAGATTATCTTCGATCTCTTCTTTTTTTTTTTCCCTTTTGAATTTTTGTTAAATACTTATAGTGGATGAACTGTTTCTCTGATCATTATTTTATTTAGGGAATCCGAGATTTTCGTGTTTCTTCACTTCCCCGAGAAAATTCGGTGCTGCTTCATCCGTAAGCAATCCATCTTTTTTGTTATCGCATCAGTTTCATGTTTTAGATTCCGATCTCGACCCGATTAGGTAACACTTCAAGCGTTGACTTTCCCTGTGGATTTCTGGCACTGTTTCTTCATCTGGGTTTTGCTGACTGTAAATTCAAGATTTTGGGAATTAGGGTTTGTTAGATTTTTACTAGTTTCCTACCGCGTATACCAGGATCAAACGGAACTTCCGGAATCAGTCTCTAGCACCGGATTTGCTTTGAGATTCAGATTTCTGAGTAAAATTGAGAACAAATTCCGGGTTTATGAATTCTCAGGTAGATGATTGTATTTGACACGATTTAGGATCCGTTCCGATGCATTTGAACAAAGGATCGATATTTTCCGGTCTCATTCAGATACATTAGTGTCTGTTTGATTCGAGAGTGGTGTTCGCTGTCCATGGAAACTGTTCATAAAGAGGTCAAGGAAGCTAATTCATGTAAGAATAAGCCTCTTGCCGGTTCAGACACCAGTGAAACTGAAGATGAAATCAATGGAGAAGATGAAAGTGAGTCACAGTGTTTGCTGCCTCCAAGGAAAGGAGGAATGTCACGGAACACCGAGAAGGCGAGGAGGAAAGTGAAATGGAACGATACCAACGGGAATAATCTTGCTGAGGTCTTAGAATACGAACCCAGGTAATGATAACTCATGAGGTCCTAAGGAACAAATGGTGTTTGTCGTTTCTGCCTGTAACTTAGATCTCAGACATGATCAGAATGGTGTTTTAACGATTTATCTAACGTGATCCTGGATTGATATCAGAACATTTAGCTTAAATAATATGATCTTTCGTAGTGATCTGGCTGTTGTCGGGATTTTGAACTAATCCCCTTTTTATTCAGAAAGGCTCCTCTTCCATGAAACCTTGGTTATTGATGTATCAGATTCACAATTTGCTGTTATCTTTATTTTCAATTTCTGAATCGTTTTATCAAGATCAGAGGCCTGGGTTTGTTTTTGTTCTTGGGTTTGATTCATTTGAAGCCTGAGCTGTTGAACGCTTTACGTTTTTCTTTTCTAACGTCTACATGCCATTTGTATGGTTGCAGTGAAGTAAGTGAGGCAGAAGACGATGACTCAGAAGATTCTTGCATCTGTTCAGTCATGTAGTTCGCACATAATCAACCACAAATGACATTGGACATTGACAACAAGCGAAATCCTCGTCCTGACTTCTCCGTTTTAAACAATTTCTGCGGTGACTGATCAATGCGATGACCTCCTCTAGACTTAGTGACAAGAAGATGGTTCGCCCGGAGGATGTAACTTTTGCATTCGAGAGGACTTAGAGTTTATGTCTCATAAGCAGCAGCCATTTGACAGATTATGGACCTATCCAGGGACAAAGAGAGTATAATAGGTTATATGACAGTCTTTGCCATTGCAGATTGAACCTCAAAATTTCCGGTGTGGTATTACAGGTTTTGATAGTAAATTATACGAATTTCTGCAACAGTGTGGCTTGTTAAGTGTAAGCATATACAGCAAGGCAGCCTCTATCCTTTTTTCCCACTGTTTTTTGTTGCTTACCATATTGTTTCTGCAGTTGCAGACAGTTTCCGAATGGAGGAAAGACAAAACAAAACACTCTTGTTTCAAAAACCCGAAAAGGGGAAACTGGTACAGAAACACCCGTATACAAACACAAAGAATCAGAATTGCTGCAGAGACCAAACAACAAACAGCACGAACATTCTCTTCCACACTCAGTGACCAGCAGCTATTGCCTGTTGTCCAAGTTGGTGATATCCAGAATTGAGGATCTCTCCAATAAGAGGCATCTCCTTCTTTGGAGAGGCTAACCAGTTAGAGAGGCTAGCATCTATAGCTATCTCCTGAAGCAGCGGCTTCACTTGATCGTGTTTAGCCGCTTCAAAGTTCTCCTTCATTGGCTGCTTAACCTTAACATTAACCACCGGCTTTGTTTTAACCGCTTTCCACTGAGCAAGATTCTGTACAGGATTCAGGACCTGGGTCACGTACTTGCTCCTGTCCCTTGCACCTACGGCTTGTTTCTCTTTTTCAACTTCATCTTCATCATCAGCCTCATCTTGGTAGTCGATCTCATCACCATCATCCGTGTAATAATATTCGTCGTCCAGATCATTTTGATCCTCATCTTCGTAGCTGTCGGCACAATTCCGGTATCTGTAGTTTGAAGGGTACGAGGTTTTCATGCCCAGATCCTTTGGGTTCTCTTTCGGAGCATAAATTTCTGTTCTTCTTCCTTCTGCTTCTTCTGCTTCGTCATCACTGCAGGTATAGTCATATGTTCTTGGTATAGGTTCATAAGTCCGTACATTCAAATTAAATCTCACTCTCTTCCTGGCCTTGGTCTCCTTCTTCTCCTCCGCCTCACACCTGGGAACATCACAAAACAGACAACGACACTGACAGTCTGCACATATCTACAGGAGCAGAGTCCAAGAACGTTCCAATAAGACAGCTATTTGGAGAAACCAGTCCGATTTCGGATTTGGATCTTGGTATCGGTTTCATCTGAATCTTCTGGTCAAAGACCTTATAGCTATACAAAAGAACCGGAGTTTAAACTGACCTAAGGTTCGAATTCGATATCTTTTCTGGGTTCTTGGCGACATTGAGGGTCGTCAGATCAGAGGAATGCAGAGGCCCGTAGCCGCAGATTCTCTGAAACAACAAGAATATGGATAACTGAAGGAAGAAAGAAAAAAGAACGAAGCTTTTTAAAGAAAAAGAAATGGTGTATTCGGTGCGCTTACTCGATGTCCTGGCAAGGTTTTCCTGGTCGGTTTTCTGCGTTTTTTGTCGGAAGAGAGACTGAAACAGCCCAGAAAGCATCCCATTGGTGCGTGATGTTTGACGTTTATTCTGGTTTTGAGTTCTCGGAGCTGCAAGAACACGGAGTTCCGAGAAGAGACAGATTTTGTTCTCTCTTTTTACTATGATTTGTGTCCTCGAGTGCAGCGTTTGACAAAAAGAAGGGAAAGAAATCGGAACGTTGGGGGATTTCAAATTATGAAAGTGACTGTGGGCTCACGGAATCCATTTTTTATCATTTATTCAATTAAGAAAAAAGAGACATACATATATATATATATATTATATCTATAAATATTGGACGATTATATTATAAAATATTACCTAATAGATTTTTTTTTAATTTTTTTTGTACCTAATCTTTATTTGACGGATAATATCACATTTCAGCTAGGACTCCATAGTTTTATATTTTTGTAAATTTTAAAAATATATTCATAGATAGTTATTGTTGTTTTGATTGACATAACTGAGGAGAATATCCATCAATTTTCTAGAATTTACGAAATATCTATTATTTATACCATAGTTGCTTATGCAACATATCAACAAATATAATTTCATATTTCTAATCTTCCGTATTTAACTCGCTAAATGAGTTAAGATAATTGATAAATTGTACTGTAGCGAAAATATCATTTGAGGACCTTTGTAATTGTTGGTAACTAATTTTAACGGAAATATATTTTTATTAAATTTATAATAAAAGTATTATAACATTTATGGGAAAAAACCCTAAAAATTCCTAAACTTGTAATTTGGAGTAATATTAATTCCTAAACTTGTAGATGTGTCATTAATTTCCAAACTTGCAAAATTGGACACATTAAATCCTGAATTTGTTAAAAGGTTCCATAATCGTCCATATCACTATTTGGTAAAAAAAAATGAGTTGACCAATCTGATGTGGCGCGTGACGTGGCGGTAATTTTCTGAGTTGGCTCGCCACGTCACGTGTCACGTCGGATCAGTCAACTCGTTTTTTTGACCAAATAGCCTATGGACGATTATGGAACCGTTTAACAAATTCAAGATTTAACGTGTTCAATTTTGCAAGTTTGAGAATTAATAGACACTTCTACAAGTTTAGGAATTAATATTATTCCTACAAATTCAGAAATATTTAGAGTTTTTGTGAATAAAGTATGAGTATCTTTTAATTTCTAATTTGATTATTAATTGTTTTAGAAAAAATTATATTAAAAAGGATATTTCTAAATTAAATGTATTTTTTCAAATATCCTTTTTAATATATTTTTTTCTAAAACAATTCATAATCAATTTAGGTTTTGAATATTTGATAGAAAAACTATCACTATTAGATTATTTTCTTTATAACAAAATGTACTGGTGTTTACTCTATTTTGAAATTATTGTAAAAGATTTTAAAATTTGGGCCTAAAATTATATAACTAAAGTCGTTATATATATATTTGTGCGTATATTTTTACATGATTCATGTTATGTCATGGTTTGACAGTTCAAAATAGCAATACTACTTAGCTACTCCTCTTCTTGTAATTTGTTATCTTATCTTTTTTATTTTTTTTAGAGAAAAAATCCTAATTTTTTTTGAGTTTGGAGTAATATTAATTCCTAAACTTATAGAAGTGCCTATTAATTCCCAAACTTGCAATATTGAACACGTTAGATCCTAAACTTGTTAAACGATTCCATAATCATCAATATCGTTATTTGGTAAAAAAAAACGAGTTGACCAATCCGACGTGGCGTGTGACGTGGCGAGCTAACTCAGAAAATTACTGCTACGTCACGCGCAACGTCGGATCGGTCAACTCATTTTTTTTGACCAAATAGTGTTATGGACGATTATGGAACCGTTTAACAAGTTCATGATTTAACGTGTTCAATTTTACAAGTTTGGGAGTTAATAAATACTTCTACAAGTTTAGAAATTAATAGTTCATGAATTTTTAGAGTTTTTCCCCTAACATTTATAGGTGTCGTGAACGGTAATTTGAATTTTATTTAGTGTAATTTGAGTTATAAAAAAAAAGAACTAATGTTAGCGTGATTTGGTGACGAAAATTCATCGTAAATATAAATATATCAAATAAAAAATCGCTCAGTTCTGTCAGATTATGCTAAAGTTCGTATCTTTTTGAAGTTAAAGTACTAAGTCGTCTCCTTTGGGGCAATCTATTTTATTTTTTTTTGGGTATGAAATCTATTTTTTTTTATAACGGCAATCTATTAATTATTTCAGTAAAAATTTTGGGGCATAATTTATGTCTTTTCTAAGTAATCCACAAATTGATTTTTTTTTTGACAATTTCCTTGAAAAATTGTTGTATTCTGTTACATAAACTTTAGATTATCCAACATGTCCCATGTGTATATGGCAACTTACAGGGAAAGAAAAAATTCGATTAAGAAAAATTTTACTAAAAATAATACATTTCATTGTGTGAACCTTACCTGGTTTCTCTCACATCTTCTGTTTCTTGTAAAGCACGTAATCGCTGTCAATGAGCTATTCCGACAAAACCACCATCCAACTCGACCCTCTCTGGTCTCTCTCTCTCTCTCTCTTAAAAACGAAGCAATACCTTCTCTCTCTCCCCCTCCTCTCTCCTTGGACATCTAAATCGCCGTTGTCTCTCCTTTCATGGCCCATCATCCCCGGCGAGAGTCCTTCTCGGTCTCTAACCTGGGCTCGACGGTCGTGTCCCACGACACGGACCTCCTGTGGCCGTTCGGAAAGCTAGACGGGCTCGATTGGGACGACATCCGTGAGACCGCGTACGAGATCTTCTTCACGACTTGTCGCTCCTCGCCGGGGTTCGGAGGCAGGACCGCTCTCGCGTTCTACTCCTCCCACAGCAACAATGGCGACAATCATGGCGACGGAGGAGGAGGAGGAAGACCCGGTTCGCCGGCGGGGTTAGGGTTCGGGATTTCCGGCAGGAAAGAGGTGGTGACAACACCGACGAGCCGGGTGAAACGTGCGTTAGGGCTAAAGATGCTTAAGCGGTCTCCTTCAAGGAGGATGTCTACGATGGGAGCCATTGGAGTCGCCGGGTCAGCTCCGGTTTCTCCGGCCGCCGGCGGTGGCGGAGTCATCGGACACCTTAGCCCCGGCTCCGGGTTCTTAACCGTGCCTCCTGTACGGCCGAGACGACCGTTAACCTCTGCAGAGATCATGAGACAACAGATGAGAGTAACGGAACAGAGTGACAGTCGTCTCCGAAAAACCCTAATGAGGACGCTTGTCGGCCAAGTAAGTTCATCTTCCTCTTTTACTCATCAATGGTGAAGTATAAGATTGAGATTTATCGAGTTTTATACAGACTGGAAGGCGAGCAGAGACGATAATTCTTCCGTTAGAGCTTCTCCGGCACCTGAAATCTTCGGAGTTCAATGATGCACACGAGTATCAACTATGGCAACGACGACAACTCAAAGTCCTTGAAGCCGGTCTTCTTCTTCATCCATCGATCCCTTTAGACAAAACCAATAACTTCGCCATGCGAATGCGCGAAATCGTCCGACACAGCGAGTCGAAACCCATCGACACGAGCAAAAACTCCGACACGATGCGCACTTTGTGCAACGTTGTTGTCTCCTTGTCATGGCGCAGCACAAACGGAAGCCCTACCGATGTCTGCCACTGGGTAGATGGATATCCTCTGAACATTCACATCTATGTCGCGCTGTTACAGTCAATCTTCGACGTTAGGGACGAGACTTTGGTATTAGACGAGGTGGATGAGCTCTTGGAGCTGATGAAGAAGACATGGTCTACGTTAGGGATAAATCGGGCAGTACACAACCTGTGTTTCACTTGGGTTTTGTTCCATCAATATGTCGTGACTTTGCAGATGGAACCGGACTTGCTCGGCGCCTCGCACGCCATGTTGGCTGAGGTGGCTAACGATGCCAAGAAGCTCGACCGTGAGGCTCTGTACGTGAAGCTCTTGACCTCGACGTTGGCCTCACTGCAAGGATGGACTGAAAAAAGGTATCAATGCTTATTATTATGTTCAGATTCATAGCCCTTTTTTTTTCATTTACTGAGAATTTCGATGTGTTATGTGATGAAGGTTGCTGAGTTATCACGATTATTTCCAACGAGGGAACGTGGGGTTGATCGAGAATCTTCTGCCACTGGCTTTATCATCGTCTAAGATCTTGGGCGAGGACGTGACAATCTCTCAAGGGAAAGGGGGAGAGAAAGGAGAAGTTATGCTGGTAGATTACTCGGGAGACCGAGTTGATTATTATATCAGAGCGTCTATCAAAAACGCTTTCTCGAAGGTGATAGAGAGCACAAAAGCTAAGATCATGGCGACAGAAGAAGGGGACGAAGCTGCAGAAACGCTTCTGCAACTGGCAAAGGAGACAGAAGAACTCGCATTGCGAGAGCGCGAGTGTTTCAGCCCGATACTTAAGCGTTGGCACTCCGTTGCGGCCGGGGTCGCATCCGCGAGCCTTCACCAATGCTATGGCTCGATCTTGATGCAATACTTGGCAGGAAGGTCGGTGATCACCAAAGCGATCGTCGAGGTTCTGCATACTGCAGGGAAGCTAGAGAAGGTTTTGGTCCAGATGGTGGCCGAAGACTCGGAGGAATCGGAAGACGGAGGGAAAGGACTCGTCCGAGAGATGGTCCCTTACGAAGTGGATTTGATTATCTTACGGCTTCTGAGGCAGTGGATCGAGGAGAAGCTGAAGAGAGTTCAGGAGTGTTTGTACAGCGCAAAGGAGACAGAAGTAGGTTTTTTAAGGTGTTACTTGCGTCACAAGAAATGAAAGTTCACCTGTTTATCTCATCTCTTGCTGTTTCTTTTTCTGTGTAGACGTGGAAACCGAAATCTAAATCAGAACCCTACGCACAATCCGCAGGGGAAATGATGAAGCTAGTGAAGGAAATGGCCGACGAGTTCTTCGAGATACCGGTTGGAATTACAGAGGATGTTGTTCATGATCTTGCTGAAGGTTTAGAACGAGTCTTTCAAGAGTACACTACATTCGTCGCGTCGTGCGGTGAGTGAAAAGAAAAAAATCGCGAAAACGAGAAATTTTTCTTCTGAATATGACAGTCATCGATTTCGTTTTTTTCCGATCTGTTTTCTCGTGTTTCAGGATCGAAGCAAAGTTACATTCCCACGCTCCCACCACTGACAAGATGCAACAGAGACTCCATGTTTCTGAAGCTGTGGAAGATAGCGACGCCTTGTACGGTGGCCGGAGAAAAGCTTCATCCCAAAACCCTAGCCGACTCGGAGGGTAACCACTCGTATCTTTCCACGAGCCGCGGCACGCAACGGCTATACATCCGGCTCAACACGCTGCACTTCCTCAGCTCACACCTTCACTCCCTCGACAAGTCACTCACTGTTAACCCTAGGGTCCTCCCCGCAACACGAAAACGTTACCGCCATAGAAGCAACTCGTCCTCTTACTTCGACTTCACCTACGCGGGAATCGAATCCGCTTGCCAGCACGTCTCCGAAGTCGCAGCCTACAGATTGATCTTCTTGGACTCGAACTCCGTCTTTTATGAGAGCCTCTACGTCGGTGAAGTCTCCATCTCGAGGATCAGACCCATGCTGCGAGTCTTGAAACAGAATCTAACGCTGATGTCAGCCATTTTAGCGGATCGAGCTCAAGCCTTGGCGATGAGAGAGGTGATGAAAGCGTCGTTCGAGGCGTTCTTGATGGTTTTACTCGCGGGTGGACATTGCAGAGTGTTTTACAGGTCGGAACATGATCTGATCGAGGAAGATTTCGAGAATCTGAAGAGGGTTTTCTGCACGTGTGGAGAAGGGTTGATCCCGGAGGAAGTGGTGGACCGAGAGGCGGAGTCAGTGGAGGGAGTGATCCAGCTGATGAGTCAGCCGACGGAGCAGCTGATTGAAGATTTCAGCATTGTGACATGCGAAACGAGTGGCATCGGACTGGTCGGAGCCGGGCATAAACTTCCGATGCCACCGACGACCGGACGGTGGAACAGGTCGGATCCGAACACGATCTTGCGAGTTCTGTGCCAGAGGAACGATCGGGTCGCGAATCGTTTTCTGAAGAAGTCGTTTCAGTTGGCGAAGAGGAGATGAGTTCTTCATGGAAGTTTGTGTTTGGTTTTCCGTTGGTGTGTAATGAGAGGAAGAAGGGGAGGGGGGTAAATGGTTCAATCGTTTTGTGAGGGGCAAAAGTGTGATTTTTGAAGTTTGGGTTTGTAACCTTTTTAATTATTGTATGGAGGTTTGAAGAGTTGTGTTACGATGAATTCGTTGATTCTTACTTAGAGTTTATTTCGCTCATAAATAGGCGGTTTCGACAGCTTTGTTATTTGTTTAAAAAAAAATATTCATGGATTTCATATTCTTTTAAAAAAATAAATAGATTCCGAAATTGAGTTAAGTTAATTGCATTAAATGTAATTTTGAACAAAAGAATGCAACCAAATGCCAAGGCTTTCTCTATTTGAAGAGTTAATGAACGAACTGAACTGTGGATCATTTACTGACAGTTCATAGTTGTCTGAAACAGAAGACGATTTATGTTGTTTGATCTATTAATAAAATTATAACATTAATTTAGTAATGTAATTAAATGCAGTGATTTTATATCTTTTCTAAAACAAGTTTCAGGTTTAGATGAGATCGGATCAAGTAAATGGAGAAAAACGTCTTGATATGCATTCTCAGGTTCTAAACCCAGAGAACCGCCATAGCCGCCGAGCTCGGAGTTTTCAGAAAAACCGTTTTATCCTCGTTTTCTCAGAACTGTAAGAAGTAACGACTGATTCAACGTTAGAATTCTCGTCTTTGCCTCTCGATTTCTTCACAGAGAGTTCTTCCCCGTTCGACCCCTTCAGCCGCCTGTGTCGGGAAGTGGGCTTCCTCGGAGGAACCGAGCCATCGCCGCCAACTGGATAAGACCCTTCGGTGTCGGGAACTGAGACGTGACTCCTCCTCCTGACCGATGCATCTGACGTGTCCATCGACAGGTTTGAGCTCCGGTTGCGTCGTGAAGGCTTCGACGGCGCGTCATCGCCAGAACCGCTCGTTCGTGATCTGGTCGGAGAGTCGGTCGGGGAGCTCGCCTTGGATTTACGCCTCGTCTTGTTCCTCGGTTTCTGGGTTTGGACCATCAATGGCAATAACCCGACACCCCTTTGATTCTTCCCTGCAGACACTGACAGGTTAGAACGTGAACTCTTTGACCAAAGCTTGAAGCTTTATGCTCGTGAATGTTTGAATGAATCTTTCATCGGTTTCGAAAAAACTAACCATCTGGGTTGAGTTTGGGGCATTCTCCTCCGGAGGCAGCTCTCCCGTTTCCTTGATCTCGAGGCTTGAAGTCATTCATCTGCAAATTTCACTACGATGAAACAATGGAGCAATGAATACACATGCACGCATACGTATACATGACAGAGAGAGAGAGAGAGAGAGATACGGTATAAATGTACGCATTGTGCGAAGGCACCGTACCCAGCTAGGTGTGTTGACGGAGGGACTGTCGGACCCGATGTGGGCAACGTGCTTCACATCTGTCGGAAACCCAATCTGCATCTCCAGCTCCTTCTTCTCCTCTTCTGCAATTTCCCCGACGTATTAGTTCTGTAGTTCATTGCAGAGATAACTCGCGACACAAGAAAACGTCGAGTTCGATTCTGACTCACCGAAAATATGAGTAATGTAACGCAGGCCTTTCAGAAGACCCTTCTTCGTTGTCACCATATTCGGAGCGGTTAGTGATATGAACTCGTTGGAAGACAAGCACTTCTGGTTTTGTTTGTCGCTCGGCAGAGCTCTGCAATGGCGGTAAACCTAACTTAGATAGCAATCAATCAATCAATCAATAACAAGAAATCAACTAACGTCAAGTAAATCGTTCTTACATTATTGGAGATCAGAAAATTCCCCCATTTCTGCAAATCGAAGGAAACAACAGATGATCAGATCTGTCTGAAAAAACATCCGAAATTCTTGAATGGAATCGAATCAGCTCTCCCACAAATCCTTGGTTCTTGGTTGTGTTGAACACAACCAAGAAAACCTGAGGGGAAAGCACTGCCTTTTTTTTTTTCCCAGGGATTGAATTATATATAGGGCATATTTTTTTTTGGAGAGAAAAAAAAAAATGTAAATCTATTTTTATGGTTTCTATATTTTCCTTATTGGTAGAAGGTTATGGAGTCAACCGTAGAGTTATATCCTACACGAAAAAAACCATAAGACGAGAGGATTTTCCGGGTCTCAATTGTATTTAAATATATATATATATATATATATATTCTCAAATAAGTAGATATTAATATTATACGCAAAAATATAAGGTGTACTTAGAGCCCATAAGAATTCATCAAAGTGGACGTATACAAGAACAAAAGCATGGAATAACCAAACCACAGGACAGTAACGAGGTATTTATTCCATAGGAAACTCATGTTTTTTTTTTCTGTTTCTTCTGATAGGGAAAGTTCTAGAAGCAAGAACCGATGGCGTTAACGCATGACTTTCTGTCTGAGAAGATACAGATGACGATGAAGATGGATCAAGAGGCTTTCATGTCGTCCTAGCCTGCAAAAAAAAAAAAAAAAAAAAAAAACAGTGCCAATGAAGAAGCCAATAGTCAAAAACACAGAATCACAGCCATTGATGACAACCCAGAAAAAAAAATGTTATTATAGAAACCAATCTGTCAAACAGTACATTTAAACTTACCAGGAACTTATGATTCTCTTGGAGGAGAGGGCCGAATTCGGAGCAAAACCTCTCCATGTCGGACTCGATGTCACCGGAACCAGATATGACGTCCATGAACTTCTTCCTGTCTGGGGCAAGCTTCAAGGCCACCTGAAAAACCCGGTTTCCAGGATATGAAAATGAGTTCAAGTTCCAGCAAACATCGATTAAAGTGATGGGCATTCTAGAGATCTTATGGATCGGGAAGGAAATGAGATGGGAGTTAGTACCGAGAAGCTTGAGCTGGCGAGCCATCCGTGCCATTTCTTGAGTGTCTTTTGGTATGAGTCACCGCAAGCTTGTGACATTGTCCAGTCTGGATGTGCAAGCAAGTTGCGGAACAGCTCCACTAAGAAATCCATTGCTCTGAACCATCACAAGCAGGACATGCTTTGAGTGCAGATCATGTAATAACAGATAGAAATCACAGACCAATTATCTTTTTCTTTTACCTTGTCAACCACAAAAGACCATTTGTGCAACTAGACGACCCTTTGGCTGTCTTAGACTCAATTTCCACTTGTACAAAAGTGTACAAGTACTTGAACTTGTCGGGATCAGATAGGTATTTGTTCTCCAACCTCTAGAAGAGAAACCGATAATGTTGACAAGAAACGTCGATGCAGTAATCCAAACTGTCTAAATATGGATTGTATGGGACATTCACTTTTCTGTTTTCTACATGCGTATTTGGTTATTTCTTCTGTCTGCAATTCTAGGGGTAGCAGTTTTGATAGTTATACACACAATGGTACAATCAGAATTTGCAAAAGTTAAATGGGTTGAGTTCACTTGGATTATCACACGATCGAATGACAAGGAGGAGGAGAGCATCCTCACCGTTATGTTGCCACCGATATCAGATTTCACAAGAGCCATAGCAGCTCCAAACTTATCTGGAGAAGAAATATCAAAGAGAACGGAGTCATGAAATAAGAAACATGAAAATCCGTCACCCCAAGATGTGGGTCGTGTACTTCACCAAAAAGGGTTGAAATCATCCCTCCTACTTTGTTCTGCCAAGTGTTTTTTCATATCAGCATGAACCGTAAGAGATTAGGCACATAGAAGCGGATATATGACTGAGAAAATCACCGATAACAGGCAAGATCATCTTGCAGAGCTCCAGAAAAGGTTTGGTCAGCATCTCCTCTTGTTCGGTCTTGACATGTTTCATCGCTCCCAGACAAGGCGTGAACACAGTCCCCTCCATTTTCAGCCTGACTACTGCAACCAAATCAATAGAAGGCAACAAAAAGAAACAAAAAAACCCAGCATTACCACTTGTAGCTTTCCATACAACAAACATCAAGGATCACAGACAAATTCATCAAGTAAACACTAAGGATAAACAACATTATACAAAACTCAAGAAAGTAGCTCGATTTGTCATTCAGACAAGGAAGGCATATTAGTCCCATCAAGGATCCGAAAACTCCTGTTACTTCTCAACCAAGGAACACGAATCTCAAGAGTAATCAGCTCAAGAAGTTCAAACCAAGATCTGAACCAAGTTCAGCAAACAACACCGAAAAGGATGAAAGTGAGAAAAGCCCGAATCAGAAGGAAAATCGAAAGAAAGACAAGAACCAAAGCTTATGCATTTTTCAAATACTAAAACACTTGATCACGCGGAAACTGCCATCTTGCAAGCAATATCCAGACAAAACATCAAACCATACAGTAGTACCTAACCTAAATTTCATAGCAAATCAAACAAACAACTACATTTATACATGCAGGTAGAGAATTTGCTAAAATCAGCTCCAATTACACCGACCCTCGGATAAAAAAAATACGATCCACATTAAAAATAAGAAAACCCCATGAATCTGCGCGAAGAAGGCACCGGAATCATCAAAATCTGATTAGATCATTCAATCGTCATGATAGTGCATCGGGAAAAAAGAGAAGAAAACATTCGAGAACCGCGCAAGTAGATACCGATTGAAGAAACAAATGGACGAGAAAACGAGACCGAGACCGATTTCCAGTCGCTGATTAAAGAGGAAAAAATCGCACCTTTTTTCGAGAACACGAGAGAGTTTCAGGAGGATCTGATTCTGAGAGCGAGATTGTTCTGTGCGGAAAATGTTCGCAGAGTGGAGCCGAGATTTTTTTTTTTTCCATTTTTCCCAAAGGGTTCTTTAAACGGTTTTTTAGAGAGAAAAAAAATATTAAAGAAAGGTATTTATTTGTGTTCTATACCCTACTTTATCAAGATATAATGATTTTCGCCTTATATATTTAATAATTATATTTACACCCAACAAGTCACAAAATTAAATCTAACCATATAAAATCATTTTGGAAATGAACCTTTCCATTAATAATTTTTTAAATGATCTTAATGAAATCTCGTCTGATACATTTTTTTTTCGAATTCTTTTTTGTATTGAATCAGATTTCAGTCATATCGAATTTCTAACGAATTTTATTCTATAATACTAAGGCATTTAGTCTTTTTTTCAATCGTTAATAATTACCTCGCTCGTATTTTAATCAATATTTGATACATAATTAAAGAAGAAAAGATATGTTTTATGTTTAAATTTGAAATTTTCGTAACGTTTGGGTCAAAATGAAATTTAAAGTAAAATACAGACACTGAATAGCAAATACAAGTTTAAGGTTTCTAGGGTTATTTCGTCTCCGCTCATATAAAGCCCGCCGAACACACTGACATCGTTTTTGCTCACGAAGCCGAAGCAGAAGCAGCCGCCGTCTCGAGCTCCGTT